GGCGAGGGTGGAGTGGGCGGGGACGGAGGCAAAGGCGAGGGTGGAGTGGGCGGGGACGGAGGCAAGGGCGAGGGTGGGGTGGGTGGGGACGGAGGCAAGGGCGAGGGTGGGGTGGGCGGGGATGGAGGCGAGGGATATGGTGGGGTGGGCGGGGATGGAGGCTTGGGCGAGGGTGGAGTGGGCGGAGACGGGGGCGAGGGATAAGGTGGAGTGGGCGGGGACGGAGGCTTGGGCGATGGTGGGGTGGGCGGAGACGGAGGCTTGGGCGAGGGTGGGGTCGGCGGAGACGGAGGCTTGGGCGAGGGTGGGGTGGGCGGGGACGGAGGCTTGGGCGAGGGTGGGGTGGGCGGGGACGGAGGCTTGGGTGAGGGTGGGGTGGGCGGAGACGGCGGCAAGGGCGAGGGCGGAGTGGGTGGTAGCCGTGGAGGGGCCTTGCAGCATTTAATGCTCTTGTCAAAGAGGGCGGTCTGACAGACGCCGGGAGCACCGTTCGGCGGGGGCAAGCAGAATTCATTCAAAGTAGTGCAACCTTGACGTCCCTTGCTGTTCTTCAAGAAAAGGCAAATCTCAGCTCCATTGCTGCTAGTATTCAGGCCCAGATTGTTAATGAACAGAACTTGAGTACCGGGGGGAGCCGGAGGACTGGCGGGGAAGTGGAAATCTGGCTTCTGAAGGGAGAAATTCCCGTTGATGGTTGCCTTGATATCCAGGGACCACTTGTCGCATGCAGGATTGACGTTGAACTGCAGGCAAGGGAATGGCGATCAGGCATCACGAATCGATTTGTTCGGGTTATCAAATGTTATCGTGAAGAGAGGAGAAGGAAGTGAACCCACATCGTAACCCGAACTGTATGACGAGTTTGCTTTGAATCTCATCCCGCTCCTCTTTCACCCTGACTCACCTCGATCTTGTAGAGTCCCGCCCGAGCGCAGGCCTCGGTGCTGCTGCTAGTGTCCACAAGAAGCGTGAAGCAGTATTTGCCATTGCCATAGTCCTTAGGTGGCGATAAGGAATACGGGAAACCGGAAGGGGGGCAATTGCAGAATGGGAAGACCTTGTACTTCATCGACACTAAATCCTGCGCGTTGGCGGCCCTGCGAAGCAACAAAGCAAGTGACAGATGTCATTCCCTAGCAAAATGATCTCATTGTCATCTGCATCTCCGCGAGGAATGCCGTTTGGGTGACAAGCCCAAAAGATCATGGTTTACAAGGCCATCACAAGACAGTGCTTCCATACATTTTTGGCCATGTGGACTCAACCATGTGGATTTATAGATCTCTAGAAGATGGCGTAAGTAACGTACATGCTGCGCACTACTTTCAAAAGCGCCCTTTACCACGTCCACGATGCGCGCCACTTACGCGAATGCGGCCGCCATAAGCAGAAGAAGTTTCCAGTCTGACCTCATCGTTGTAAGCGAAGATGGTTATTCCAGCATTATATACAAGTCGAACAGCAGTAAATCAACGGGCCCACGGTACGACGATCATGTCGAATCCCGCAACTTCAGTCTTAAACACAAAAATCGTCACATTTACATGTCAGAAAATATTTGGCAATGGATAAATGAATTTCGCTGGGTAAATAAGCACTAAGACTCAAAACCCCACCTCAACCGGAGACGTCAGAATACGTAATTGACATTGGGCGACTTTCTTTCATCTCAGGACTTCACTTGTGGACAGTTAGGTAGGAATCGCACTAGTCCGATTATGACGATTTCCTATTGCTTCTTATGCTAAGGTGTCGGTAATGTTTCGTCCGCTTGAAGAGCACAACTTTGGTGGGACCCCATAAGTATGGCAAAATTGGAATATGTCATTGCCAATAAGTGGATATAGGCGAGGGAGCTATTGCTTGGCGGCTTCAGCTTCCCTTCGGACCGTGCATTACCTGTGAAAGAAGATGTGCGTTCGGTCATCACCTCTCCATGATAACCTAAATATGAGAAGTCATATACGGAAGAAAGAGAGGTTTGTTCCTGTAGCCACAGTGAGCTTGACGATCAACCTGTCATGGCCGGTCCTTCCTTGTAATCCGACCCGTCAGAACAGGTGATGTTTATGATTCTTTACATTTTGTTATTTGAGCACGATGGCTGCAGCCAGCAGGGTGTCATGCAATGGCATATGAGATGTCACCTTTTGTCAGGTTGGCCTTTAGCCTTCTCTAATGCCAAGGTTATTTCTCCACTTTAAGTAACTTGTAGCGTAATAGCAGCTGTCCAGTACACTTCTCCTTCACAATTCAGAGGGAGACCCCCACGTCCACCTAGTTGCATACCGATCGATATCGTCGTGCTGATTATCGTAAATCATCTTCTCTTCTCACCCACTGCTACTATGGAAATGATTCACAACATCAATACTCGCTTCCGGCTGTAAGCGCGCAACCGGGTGGGGTCGGTGAGTGTTCTGGTTTCGCAGCACGAAGCCGCAGCGTTAAATGAAATCCTAAACCGACATCCCTAAGGCTAGCCAGCATTTCGCAGATGAATTGCCTTCACTCAGCTTCACGCCACGCGGTATTCGCGTAGCCTACCTGTGAGCGCGCGCGGGGAAGATATCATGGCCCCTCTCTAGGTCCCCTAGCGTTGCCTGAAGTAATGTGAAAGCGATTTTAATTCATGTGAGGCCGATGTACAAGAGATACTTTTACAGGTAACTCGAATGCACGAATGCGCTATCAGTGGAAGCTGCAGGTAGCATGCTGCAGGGAACGTTTGGACCAGTTGCTTTTGCGTTTAGCCTGCTCATCCACATGATAAGGGAATACAATAATTTCACATGGCTTGATAATCGCGATTGGATACATACAATTGGGTAAAGGCGACACTCTTCGTTCACGCACGAGCTCATCTCATATGTTGAGGAAACGTCCACAAATTGTAATATTTACGCGTCGAAGAGATGGATCACCCTAAGTAGTGCAGCAGCCAAGTCCGGGCTTCGTCATCGATGGTTCGACAACTCTGCGAACGCATTCACGATGAATGCGCGAACATGTCTGCTAAGATTTTTTTTAACAAATCTTTTTCAAAACCTAAAATCTTCCTTTCAGTAGGCAATGATAACGATGCATAAAGATGGTCTACGTTTCGAAATTCTACTTCCTCTGATTGGCCCTGGCCTGCTTCTGACGGACCGTTATCTGAATCGGCCAGCTAGCGGCTTAAGTAGCTTCATGGCTTTGATATTTTATACTGTAGGCCTATGTGTGACGCCTTTACCTTTTTGCAAACCTCAAGGTTTCCTCTTCGCTTCTTCGGGGAGGCCCCAAGGATATCTACTATTCATCCACTATATCAACGCGTTGCAATTTTTTCTGCATATCTTGCGACACAGCTTTGGTCGCTATCATCCTTCGCAGAATTTTGCGCCTAACTCAGTCACAGAGTATCATGGCATTTGACTCAACCCTCTTCCACTGCTGTGCTGCAACCATTAGCTCTTGGTAACGGTACGCTACCAGCAGCATTGTCCTGGAAGCTAAATCAGTGATCTTTCTTCTTGGTTGACTATCTCGGCCTCTTGGTTGCTATCTTCATTACAGTTAGTGTCTGTGCTTAAGGGTTTGCGTTAAGAGCACCTTTGTTATCACCAACGTTTGGCTTGATAATCCGTACCGTTTAACGGTCAACCGTCAATAATTTGCTTTTTGCTCCTTCCCGGTATCGCAAACGCTCCCGAGCGCTTCTGGATTGTGCTAGCCAAACCATAGCTTAATGTTAAATATAACAAAACTTTGAATCTATTCAAGATCTTTTTTGCAGAGCGCAGTGTTATTGACAGCACAGCGGAGCGGATCGCTCCCAGTCCGGTGAAATCCTGTTCATGTCGTCTGAGGTGCTGCTGCTGCTACAGCATGAGAAGAGCCAGGGAGGTGGGTGTAAAACCAGCAAGCCAGTTCCGCTTTCCTTGCCATGGGGACAGACGCCACGAATTATAGCGCGAGCTGCGAGTCCCATCACGTGCCGCCAGTGCCGCCAGTCGCGGCGGCGGATGCGGTGATGACAGCAGCGCCGCCGCTGCCGCCGCCGCCGTCACCCAATCCGCCAGTGACCGCTCCTGTAGGCCATCATCACAGAGTCGCAAGGTTCTGATCGCCACCATCGCCGCCACCAACGCGCCGCCGCCTGCAACCTTCTGCGACCGAGCCCACCGACCGCTTCCCCGATGTCGGTCCTGGCGACGACAGAAGATCACCACCTCTCGTCACCACCACTACTGCGGCCACCAGTGCACCGCCACTACATCGCCGCCATCATCGCTAACCCGTCCTCCACCCCTCCCAACAGCCCCATGGATTACGGGGGACACACGCGGGCCTCATCATCTCGGTAACTCCACCAGCAGCCCACGTTACCAGGAGCCCGCAGGTCTCAGGCCCCTTCCCCTCCTTCATCATCCCCATCCCAGCAGCGACTACATGGCCTAATCAGGACATTCCCCCCCCACAAACACAGCGGTCAGAACCTTCGAGTGCCTCTAGTACCTCTGATGCCCACGTGACGCCAACGGCGGCAGTTGTTATCGTGGTTGTGATGGTGGTTGTGATGGGGAGTTGATTAAACTCGATAACGGGATCTTGTTCGTCACGTCATGGTACATAATCAACGGGGCCGCTGCCGCTGTGGCTGCAGCTGCGGTTGTAGCTGTGGTAGTAGTTGCATACGGCGGACACTTCACCTCCTCGAAGTCGCTGATAAGGCCCTCATGGCTAGGAGCTGCCGCCACTAGCCGACCCTCTGCTGCGACATCCTGCGGGAATGCGGGCGGGTGGGCGGGCGGGCGAAAGAGATGTACGGAAAAGAGAAGGGAAGTATATGGATCCGGAGGGGAGCTCGAGTACGTACGAACTCCCACCACCCGAACTTTGCATCTCTGCAGTGGCCCCGGTGGTTGAGGAAGGCCCGCACTGTGACCACTGTGGGGCGCCAGAGCAAACAGGAGGGGGGGGATGAAAAGAACCTGGTGCACTCAAGACCTAGGTGTATACAAATTAAATCAGATCAGGTGAAGTCGAACCAAGTCAAGTCAAGTCAAAGCAGATCATTGGAAGTCATTCCTCCGATCCTTTGCAACGGTGCGGATTCCCCCGGGCAGGCGGGCTGCGGGACTCTCGCCAGTACGGTTCGGTTCCCACCTGCAGTCACAACGGCACAGCGGCGTAGCATCCCCCTCCCGCTGGGGATGTGGAGGTGTGGAGGGGAGGGGGCCTCCTGTCAATAGCAGGCGCTCCCAAACGCACAGAGAGGCTGGCGACGGTAATGGCGACGGTAATGGCGACGGCGATGGCGACGGCGACGGCGACGGCGACGGCGACGGCCCCACACTAGCACCTGTATGGCACATTGACCTGCAAAACCACGCACCCCCCAGGCTACCCAACTACCGACCCTATCCCTCAACCACATAACATAACACCACCTCCTCACTCCCCCCTCACTTTAAGTAACCTGAGCACGAAGGGCGACATGCATTGCTGCCACTGCGTCGCACCCGCATGGTGCCCTTTCACCTCCGGCGAGCTGCTGCCGCTGCCGCTGCTACTGCTGCTGCTACTGCCGACGGTGGTAGTGGCCGCCGCCACAACGCCACTGCAGCCCTCCCCTCCGCCACCCTCCGCCTCCGAGGTGCGGCTCCAGGGTGGGTGGGAGTTCCTCATACGCTTCTGGGCCCTATGTGCAGCCCAGGTCAGGTAGAGCTGGTCCATGGCTCGAGTCACACCTGGTGAGGGTGAGGTTGGGGGGGGGGGAGAGAGGGGAAAGGACGGGCGGGAAAAGACATGCAAATGTGGCGAAGGGGAACACGGGTACAGTGAAAAAATTCCCCGGAGGGGATTTGAGCGGGATACCGCCCGATCGTAGATGCCCCAGCAAAGGGCGTCAAGAGGGCAAAGCCGGTGGAGGGGGGCAGGATGTCGGTGCAAGGCCGCCGGGTTTCATGTGCAGCAAGCAGCAGCAGCAGCTGGGGGAGGTTGGTTGAGGAAGGAGAGAAGGCGACCCCCCCGGAGAACGGCGGGCGACCCATGTCATGGAGGGGAACCCACCCGTAGAACCCACCCGCCCTCAATAACCCGCCCGCCCTCTCCCTCACCCCCTAAAGTCCCTACACCACCCTAAATACTCATCCACCATCCTCCAGTGTCTGAGACCCTCAAAGCAAGCGATATATTAGAGCTGCCCCAAAACTCCCCACCTGCAAGGGCCAACCGGGCCCTGCAAGGGCCAACATGCAGCCAAGAGGTTGGCCGCTCACCCACTCACCCACGAACAGCAACCTGAGCTCCTCAATACGCCGTACACCCTCCGCCGACAACTTATACGGCAGTAACCCGTCCTCACACCCGGTCACGAACACCACGGGAAACTCCAAGCCCTTGGAACCGTGGAGGGTTAGCAATTGTACGGCACCACCGGAGGAGGCGGCGGCGGAGGCGGAGGAAGGAGATGAGGGGGCAGTGGAGGGTGGTGACGACGTCCTGCGGGGGTTGCGGTGAGCGCCGCTGCCTCCCGCCGTGGATGCGGCCTACGGGGAATGTGTTGGGTTGGTTTGACAGACGGTCGGAACAGGGCGTGGTGAGGGGGAGAAGGAGGAGGACTTAGTGGTGGTGGAGGCGAAGGAAGGAAGGAATGTGAGAGATGGGGAGCGGCGGGGGAACCCCCCGGGGACAGCACGGGCCGTGCGGGTTTTTTATGACAGCGCGGACAGTCTTCGGTACGCCCTTAGTTTGCGGGGCGCGGGGTACGGGGCGCGGGTGCGAGGACCTCAAACATCCGACCGACCGAATACCTAACCTGGGAGCGGGGGGAGGTAGGGTTGCACCGGTAGGGGTTATCACCGCTTTCACAAAGCGCCCCACCCGTTGAGGGTCATTACCCCATAATGCCCTATGGCGAAAACCCCTTCCCTCGCCGTACAGCTAGTCACAAACCTCGTATGTCGTATACAGCTCATGCCATCGGAGCCTGCCGCAAAGGACCTCACCTCCCCGCGTTTCCGTACATCTTCCGCCGCCGTCACCAGGTCGCCCACACAGCCAGCAAATTCCTGTAGCAGGGGCACCGCTACCGCCACCTCCGCTGCCGCTGCCGCTGCCGCCGGCCCCGTCATCACCGGCGGCAGCACAGCCGGGGGGGATACCGGGGCGCTGGCAGACGAGGAGGAGAAGGAGGGGGAGGAGGAGGAGGGGGTAGCACCGCCACAACCCTCCGTCGCCACCGCCACATCCTCCTCCTCCTCTTCCTCCTGCTCTTCGCCGGCTGTTTGTCGGGCTGCTTTGGCCGCAAGCAACATCTGGTCCCGGGCCCAACCGTATTGACTCGCAGCCTCGAGAAACTGAGACAGGCTGGCGCGCTCCTTGGCTGGTTAGCCGTTGACGGTTGACGGTTAGCCGGGGGTTGTTGGCAGCGGGTGTTGGCGAACCAACAGCGGGTGTTTGCGGCATGGGCCAATTGGCAGTTGGCAGTTGGCAGTTGGCGGGTAGGGGTTGCCGGTCTCTATCCGTGAGACAGCAACGCCAGAAAGTGTTTGCTGCTACAGCTGCTGTACCCTCTTGTCAGACCTCTCTCCCCCTCTTGTACGACAACTGCCGTACTCACCCAAATCCTTCCTGCCCCCGTGCTCCAGCTCCATCCACGTAAGATAGCCGGTGGCACGAACCACCATGTTGACCAGGTCCTGAGTAAAGAGAAGGGGAGGCGAGCGAATGAAAAAATCAGAAGATGAAGATGACGATAACGATGCAAAAAAACAAACAACCTCAGGTGCCCCCATGTCCAGAGACTGCCGCACAATGTCGTACGAGTTTAAGAAAGGAAGGGGGGAACGAATGGGGAGGAGGGGAGGAAAGGACGAGCCAAAACCCAAACGTGCTGTGAAGGTAATCGCGCTGGGGGAAGGGGGGGAGGGGGGAAGGCGAACCACTGGCGTGTGAAGCAGATACCATACCGCCATGCGCTGTCATGCCGTACAAATATAACCATTTGCGTTGCCGTACCTCAGCGCCGTACCCGGTCGCCGATGCCACATTAAGCAGCACCACGAGGTCTCGCAAAAAGCTGAGGGAGCAAGCGGCAAGAGGGAAACAGAATTAACCAACTAACCAATTAAGTAACGAACAAACCGGCTGTTTGGAAATGAACAGATTTGAGGAATAGTGTTAGTGTACATATAAGTGCTTACATACCTGAAGTACTACGCATACGGCCGTCAAACCCAACGTCACATGAACCCCGAAGGCGGGGGGGACCACACATGAACACGGAGGCAGGTTCACAACAATGGCACGCGGTACAACACGACAGACAAACTGACTGACAGACAGACTGACTGACTCGACTCACACGATGCCGTCGTACTCGGCCTCTCCTGGGTGTAACGCCAGCGCTTGGCAGAGCTCCAGGGGTGGCGGTGGAGCCAGCGGGCTGGGGAAGGCCTCGTTATCCACAATGAGCTGAGTGCGTGTGCGTGTGTTTTAGAGGGGTTGCGTGTGTGTTTGTGTTTTGGAAGGGGGGAAACCGGGGGGAGCGGCAAGGGGGAGAGGACGGTGAGGCGGGGAAAGGGGAAGGGTTTAGGCCGGAACGCGAACAAAGACAAACAAGCGAAATTCAAGCTGCCGTACGTCGCAGGTGGGAGAAGCGAGAGAGCAGCTAGAGGAGGTGGCAGGAGTTGTGAGAGCTCTCTGTGATTGCCTTCCCACCTTCCCACCGTCGTACATAAGTCACATGTCGCCGTGTCCGCCTCAATACACCGGACCGCCCGCACCGCCGCTCCCCCCCCGCCCCAGATGCCATCATCTGACAACTGACCAGTGTCGTACTAGTACTGCACATCCTGCAGGTCATATCCCGCGCACTAACCCCCTCACACACCCCCAACGCACCCAAACCCTCAAAACGCTCTTTCCCCCCCAAAACCACACACACATACACACACGTACACACACATACATACAGACACACACCATCCAGGGGTCGTCCTGCGGGGCCAGGTCCGGGAACGCCAGCTTGCGGCGGAACGGTGAAGGCCCCAACGGGCAGTACCGACCCTCTCCACCACCACCACTGCTGCCGTCACTGCCGCCGCCGTCACCGCCACTGCCGTCACCGCCGCCGCCGCCGCCGGGCGCCGTCATTCCGTTCGGGCGAGGACACAGGGCGTGCTCTGGCGGCGGCGGCATCAGCAGTTCCAAGGCGTCCCGTACGGGCTCGTACAACCACGGCGGTAACTCCTGAGTTGTTGGGTCCAGGGGGGGATGTCCAGGGTAGAGCAGCTGCAGTGGGGGCCAACAAGAATTTGAATTTGAATTTGAATTCGAATTCGAGCCGCCGCCGCCGCCACCACCGTCTTGTTCTTCTTCCCGGGGCCTTATGGGCGCCACCATGTCTCCGAACAGCAGCCTCCCTGGAGAGGTCCCCCGGTAGGCGGGGCGCTTTAGCCGGGCGAGTACGGCACTGCCTGACATGCGGCGGGAGTGGAGGGGGGGGAGGGAAGGGGAGTGGAGGGGAGTGGAGGGGAGGGGAGGGGGGGGAGGGAAGGGGAGTGGAGGGGAGTGGAGGGGAGGGGAGCGGAAGGGTGAAGGTGTGGTAAAGTCCTTATCCGGTTGATCGTAGTGTGGTGGTGGTAATGGTGGTGCGCGAGATAATGTGGTGTGTATGTGGACGTGTGCATGTGGGTGACGTTTACATATATGTATATGTACACGTACTTGTACGCGCGTGTGTGTGTGTGTGTGTGTGTGTTGTGTGTGTTTTCCCCCTCACTCACCCGGGTCAATTCCCCTCCTGGGCCGGGTGAGCACCTGGGCCAGCAGGCCCCCACTGCACTCCAGGGGCGCCGCTGCAAGGCGGAGAAACGCCGCAATGTCCCGTACTTGCTCCGAAGCCCAGAAGGGGGAGCTCTTGGGCAGAACGTACGGCACTCCGGCAGCTTGGAGGGCCTCCTCCAGAACACGGGCCTTATCACATCACAGGTTGACCACAAGGGGAGGTAGAACTTACAATTTAAAACTGGCCTTTCGGACAACAAGTTTTATACATTTTCTCTTTTTGAGGTCCAGGGCGCGTCGGGGCCGGGGGATATCAGAACGGGCAATCGAAACCCAACAGATGCAAGTTTTTTGATGTCCTAAAAAACACCGTTCTAGAAGCTGAGGTCGGGTCCTTAGGACTTTGAGCGGTAAGTCAAACATTACAACAAACTGTTAGAGCTCCGGAGCGGAGACCATCCAAACGGAGGTCTCAGATCTCTGAGACAGATCCCAACCACCACCACCACCGCCACCATCCAGCGGCCGGCTTTACATCCCGCCGCATCTCGAGCCGGCTGGCTCTACACCGGACCCCCTCGCTCCATTTCGCGTGTGCCATTTCGCGTATTACCTGACGGTTTAGACGGTACAGCACCGCCACGTCCTGCAGCCGTACAGATCGTCCTGGCCCCGAAACCAACTTCCGAATCTGCGCTGCCACCCAAGCTGCTTCCTGCCGCCCGTTACCGGTCGTTACAACCGCCACTGCAGCGCCGGGACGAGGTGTGCGCACCGCCTCTAGCACAGTCAAAGGATGTAGCTGCTGCTGCTGCTGCTGTTGCTGTTGTACTTTTGTTGTTGATAGTGGTGATGGTGAATGTGGTGGTGGTGGTGATGTCAGGTGGGTCTGGTTGATGATGCGCTGCGCGACCTCCACTATGTGCGGCAAGGACCTGCCGCCCCCGGGGGAGGGGAGCGGTGGGGGGGAGGGGGAAGGGGAGCCGGGAGGGGGGGAGCGGGGAGGAGGAGCCGGGGGGAGGGGGGAAGGGGGGGTTACGGATACGGATACGGACACGCGGGCGGTGTTGCAGATGGAGGTGGGGGAATGTGCGACGATGCTGATTTAACGTTCGGGGTGTGGTGAGGATGGCCACACACGGGCAGCTGCCAAAACACACCACTACCCGGTTGCTCATGTACGGAACGACATCACTTCCCACCTCTTCTCCGCCTCTCCAGCCGGAGGGGGATTCCGCCACGTTGCCGTACATCCCCAGTTCACATGGTGGCCACGTAAGCCCCCCCGCCCTCTCTCCCCTCTGTCCACATTCCCCTCCACGCACCCACCGGTGATTGCGGCGCAAGACGAGGGAGGCCGTCGCTCCAGGGCCAGCCCCTGATGTCGCCGCCTCCGCCGCCACAGGAGCAGTAGCAACACGATCGGTTCCTGCAGCGCCAGCGGCATGCTCGTTTAAAGATGTCATACCGGCGTCGGTTAGACCAGTCCTTCCCGTACAGCTTCCCACCTTCCGCACCTCCTCTTGGCGTTGCGACCTCTTCAGCAAGAACACGCAACGAGGCATCCCCCTCCGCCGTCGCCCTCTGCGCCGCCGCGATGCCGTACAATCCACCAGCCGCCGCCGCTGTCGTCGCCAGCGGCGGCAAGGGAGCTTCCGCCAGGAGTAGATCTTCATCCGGCGGCTCCGCCGCCGCTACCACCATTCCGCCGCCGCCGCCGCCGCCGCCGCCGCCGCCGCCGCTGCTGCCGCCGCCGCTGCTGCCGCCGCCGGCTATAGCTCCGCGGCCCTCCGGCAGCGCTCCCCGCCACATGTAGATGGACTGATTGGCGTCCCCCACCAGAAACAGCTCCGAGCCCTCGGACCTCAACAACTGGACCAGGCGGTACTGCGGCAGGTTCGTGTCCTAGGGTGTGTGCAGGGCGCGATGGGGGGAGCGGCCGCGTGTGGGGGAAGGGGAGATGTAGGGGCGTGGGGAAGAAAACGTGTGTGTCTGTGTGTGTGTGTGTGTATGTGTGAACGTCATCTCCCCGGCCAAAACCCCCCACCTCCCAGCGTACCTCCTTGCCGGGTCATCGCGCATCCACACCTTCCCCCCGGGCACTTTCCCCTCCACAAACCCCCCGTCTTTCCCTGACTTCCTGTCCGACTGCCGTACACCCCAAAACCCCCAACACACACGCCGATACCTGGAACTCATCCACCAGCACGTGCCTGACCAGACAGAGGGGGGGGAGATGTACGGCAGCCAGTCGGGTCCACGGCGGTCATGGGGCCGGATGGGGCCAGGGCGGCGTGTGTATGTGTGTGTATGTGTGTGTGTGAGTGTGTGTGTGTGAGTGTGAGTGTGAGTGTGAGTGTGAGTGTGTGTGTGTGAGTGTGTGTGTGAGTGTGTGTGTGAGTGTGTGTGTGAGTGTGTGTGAGTGTGAGTGTGTGTGAGTGTGAGTGTGTGTGAGTGTGAGTGTGTTGTGTGTGTGTGTGTGTGAGTGTGTGTGTGAGAGAGAGAGAGAGGGGGGAAAGGGTGGGTGGGTGGGGGGGTGGGGTGGGCTGAACAGGGTCAAAGCGAGCCCTAGTATCCCCAGGTGTGCTGGTTGAATGCGGGGGGGGGTGGAGGGGGGACAGACGAACCACAAACGAGTGGGGGTGGAGGGGCCCGGAGGAGGAGGGCGGATGGCGGTCATAATGACGACGAGAGGAACGCATTAGGTGCTTGGCCCTTCACGCCTGCCTCCTCTAACTCTTAGACAGACACCCCACGCCTCTTCTTCGCTCTTCTTCACCCCTTTCTTCGCCGGCCCCACCCCCACCACCAAACCCCCCTAAACATTTCAACACGTGGATTATTTAGATCCCTCAATGATGACCTCCGCTGAAGTCGACTCACCTGAACGCCCTGGACGCCGCCCTCCTGGCAGGACCCTGCAGCAGCAACGCTACAGCCAGCCCCACCAAATCGTCAAAGTCAACGCAGCCGCTGACTTTGACCCGCTCGTCGTACAACTCCAGGGTTGTCAAAAAACGGTCTATATCGGACTTCTTACGTTCCTTCTCCAACGAACCCAAGTGGCCATCCCTGCTACCGCTGCTGCTAATGCTGCTGCTAATGCCACCGCCGGCGCCGCCGTCAATTTCGTGACGATGCTGTTGCTGCTGTTGCTGCTGCTGCTGCTGGTTTGGTGGCGGCGGCTGCTGATACTGATAATAGTTATTCCTCAGCAAGCTATCCAACTGCGTGTTGAAGGGCGCCAGGCGCCGCATGTTGGCCAGCAGCTCCTGCCTCGTGAGCCCGTGTGTGGTGTCCACGCGGTTCTTGACGAAGGATATCAGCTCCTGGGGGGGGTGCGGTTAGGGTTAGGGGGGAGAAGGAATAGGAGGGATGGAGTGGGAGGTGGGGGGTGATGCGATGCGAGGGGGCGGGTGGATGGGTATTGGTAAAATGCCAAGTAGTAGTGGTACGATTAACAACTGCGCCGCCATTTTAACGACATTACCAGCCGGGCCCAGCTGCCTGTCGTACATCACCGGCCCGGCTGCCTGTCGTACATCACGGGCCAAGCTGCCTGTCGTACAGCTGCTACTTGCTCCTGCTAGTGCCCCTGTAACCCCCATATTCCGACATGCCGTACATGCAGCCCCATGGTTTCCTCCGCCCTGCTGCTACTGCCCCTGCCGCTACTGCTGCTGCCACCGCCCCTGCCCCTCTGTTGCTCTCACCTTGAATGCCTTGGCCCTGGCCTGCCGACTGCCCTCCCCCCTCCCCCCCCAGCTCCCCTCCCCCTCCTCCTGCTCCTCCTGCCGCAGAGCCTGCATGAAGATGCGGTCCCGCTCCTGCTCCTGCGCTTAGTGAGGGGTGGGGAGGTGCCAGGAGCAGTAGCAGTAGCAGTAGCAGTAGCAGTAGCAGTACCTCCACACCATCAGCAAAACCAGTAATGGCAGTGGCAGGGAAACGCATACGCTGCAACAACGCCCAGTAAGGGTTGAGGGAGAGTTGGGACATCACGATTCGGATATCTGCTGGTGGTGGTAGTGGTGGTGGTAGTGGTAGTAGTGGTTACGAACAATACCCTTTTCGGCTCCAAGTTCAGAAACCCTAACCTTTGCCGTACCTCCAATATCCGAAAGTCCTTAGAAAGCCAGCTCAGCCGCGCGGACGGATCCGATGTACGGTCCGCCAAATGGAAGTACGACCTGCGGATGCCGTACACCGTACATTATACAAGACATAAACACACTCGGATGCCGACACCCAGGCTTAGAGCCCCGAGGCTAACACTGCCGAGGACGAAATTCCGTCGCGTCGTACTCAGTACAAGTCCCCCGTGTACGGCAACCTCGGTACAAACCGTAAAAACCACCACGCCGAAACACCCCACGGATTGAGTAACCCCCCAAGTAACCCCCCCAGTCTGTAGTTCGCCTTACCCCCCACGTATGTTGCCTCGAAGTTAAACACCGGTAAACACCGGTATTCCATAAGGAGCCGTGGGCGCCCCCTTCCCCCCCCCTCACCTCCCCCCTCACCTCCCCCTTCACCTCACCTCACCTCATCTCCCCCCTCACCTCCCCCTTCACCTCACCTCAGCAGTTTGGCACTCAGGGAGTGGAAGGTGCCCGTGAAGACGTCCTCGGCCGCCGCCGCCCCCAGGGCCTCCCGCAGGCGGCTGCTCAGCTCATCCGCGGTCTGCAACAGGGGGGCGGGGCGGGGGGGAAGGGCGGGGGGAAAGATGCACCATGAGCGAGTGAAGTTGATGCCAAGGAAAGGCTGCTGCGACAGATGTAAAGCACGGGCGGGGGGAGGGGCGGGGGAAAGACGAACCACACACGATTGAAGCTGCTGCCAGGGCAAGAGAGTATCAAGCGTAGAACTGACCGAAAGGCGTCCGTGGCGACCGTGACCTCGGGATGACGAAGTGAAGATGATGTCGGAAAAACTACCTACCTAAGCCGCCAGAACTAAAAAAGCGGAATAGTATTGCCAATGCGTAAAGAAGTAGGTGTAGGAAAGTAGTAGTGAAGGCGGCGGAAGCGTAGTAAAGTAGTGCTGTCGTAAAGCTGGCATAAAGTTGCTGGCCTGGACAAATAGCTGATTTGCTGATACTGAAAAGCTGTCGGTATGCGAGTGCTCCTCCCAACCCCCCAAAACTAAAGCGCGCGACCGACCCGACCGACCCGACTATCCTAGTCCGGCTAGCCGACCGACGCCAACGCGATATACCAAAGAAGCTCGAACCACCCTTTGGACTCACCTGGCCAGGCAGCAGAAGCAGCGGGCAAAGGCACATGCGAGGCAGAGAGGTAGAGAGGTGGGAGAGTTGTGAGCAGCAAACGATAAATACAAAAACGCATGCAAATGCTGCTGAAAAGGAGTATTAAACTAGCTGACCGGGGAAGCTGGAAATGAGAAGCCCTAAAGAACCTATATGAAAACGGAAGAAAACGGCGGGGGACGGGAGGGGAGAAGGGGGGGGGCGGAGGGGAAGGGAAAAGAGTGTACAAGAAGCAGAACTGACCAGTAGGCGTTCTTGAAGGCGGCGACCTTGGGATGACGTAGTGAAGATGGTTTCGGAAAACTACCTACCTAGCCGCCAAGACTAAAATAAGATAAGCGCGGAAGAAAAGCAGTAAAGCCAAGCCGTAAAGAAGTAAAGGTAAGGGAAGGGGAGGGGAGTCACATGCAAAAGGAAGTCAGAAAGGGGAGAAGGGGATGAGAACGCGAGGTTAAGGTCCGGACGGAAACACCGGGAGGGCGAAGCAGGCCCCCCTCCACAGGCAGTGCCAGTGCCAGTCCTGGTTGCTAAGTGGCGTACAGGCAGACAAACCACACTTTGTAAACATTGCGCACAAATGCAAATAATGCAAATAATGCAAATAATGCAAATAATAATAATAATAATAATAATAATGATAATATATATAATAACAATAATGGAACGCATGCAGCTCCCCAGGCTCACACCTCTTGCAGCACTGTTACAGTGCCCACGTTCCGACCTCCCACCCACGCCAACAGCTGCCCGACTCACCCACCCACCCACCTTGCGCGTGAACGTCACCAGCCCGATATTGCGAGGATGGACACCGTGCACCTGAGGGGTGACGGGTGTGGGGCGATGGATATTGGTTGGGCTATCGAAGCTGCGTTTAACTCCTACCACGGTGTCTTCATCTAAAAAGTACCTTGTACGACACTGTAGTACATGTGTACGAACCCTACCTGTACGAGCTCCGTCACTCGGGCGATGAGTGTGCGTGTTTTCCCGCTGCCGGGCCCGGCGCTCACGGTGACGATGGGTGCGGAGCGGTCACGAACCGCCGCCAGCTGCTCGTCATTTAGACCGTCGTACCGGTGTTGCGACCGCGTGTCCGCCGCCTCCGCCGGCGGCGTCGACGCTGCCGTACTCGCCTCCTCCGCCGGGACCCCGGACGGCGGAGCGGCGGGACCGGCAGTCGTGTTATCAACGCTGCTGCCGTCGTCAGTTGCCATGCTCCCATTCCCTTTGCTACTACTGCTACTGCTGTCACTCGGGCTACTGTTTTTGATACTGTTGCTGATGTCGCTACTGCTGCTACCGCTGCTGCTGATGTCGCTACTGCTGCTACCGCTGCTGCTGATGTCGCTGCTGCTGCTACGGCTGGCGCTGATGTCGCTGCTGCTGCTACCGCTGCTACAGCTGCCGGTGGGGTTACCAGGCCCAGTGAAAGAGGAAGAGACCTGTACGAGCTGAGTCACGCCGTTGGTGGCGGCGGCGACAGCGACAGCTGCGGCGCTGTGCTCTTGCTGATCTTGCTGATGCAGCGTCGGCGTCGGCGTCGGCTGCGCTGGTGGCTGCGGCTGTAGTTGTTGCTGTGGCTGTTCCTGCTGAGACAGCTGCGGAGATTGTTGCGGCGGGCACGATGGTTTCTGGGGCTGCGTCTGCCGTGGTTGCCGTTGCTGCTGCCCCAAGCCCTGCTGTGGCTGCGCCTGCTTTGGCATCAGCATCTCCGCCGGGACTGGTTGAGACGGCGGTGGCGGCGGCGGCGGCGGCGGCGCTGATTTGCGTCGCGTCGATGGGGGTTGGACGCGCGGCGGCGGCAGAGACGGCGGTGCGCTGGCGCGCGAAGGACCCCTAGCAGCGGCAGCAGCAGGACTTGCGGCGGCGGCACCGCCGCCGCCGCCGCCACTGCCGCCACTCCTCTTCCGTCGAGCACCGCTGAACAACCTGGCGGCGGAGAATGAGATGGGATGGGATGGCTGTGCATGGCTCGTGGACAGAGCCTGTGCAAGGCCCGCCGTGCTGTACGGCAATACACGCATGACCGCCGCTGCGGCGGAAGGTGGCGTCCGAAGTCCCCAGCGACTCGACAGCGGGGCTTGCAATGTCGTGCGACGAGGTTCGGGCCATGTCAACAGCCCCATATGAGCCGATTCGCGTGTACAGGGCAAGGATGCGACAGTACTGGTGACGTCAGCTCCGCTGGTGGGAGCTGCGGCGGCTGACGCATTCCGGCACGCGGTAAAGTACCCCTGGATGGACGTTCCCCTGAACCTGCCATCGTGAGATGAAGTCCGAGGAACACCCGGGAACAAAAGAAGGGAGAGGAAGTTGACGGCCCGTCCGGTGGAGCAGCAGTTGTAAATGCTGAACCCGCCGCTGCAGGATGCATGAAGGGCTACTGCGCAGCTATTGCACGGCCCCTCATTTTGGACCGCCTTCACAAGTTCATGCAGTTTAATGGATCGATAGCTTTTGTCGCGGCCGGCTGAGCTTCCTGCTCGTGCGCCTGCAGCTCTCCACATCGGTCATTGGCAGCAACAGTTCCGGAGCAAAACGGTCGAGGCCACAGCACTGTTCAAACTTATTAAAAGTCTTCCTTCTAGTGAGTATTTACATCATTATGTATATTATGTGTAACAAGGTGTTAGGTTCAAACTCCTTTCTTCCGGGCTGGTGCCGACAAATCGTCTGCTTCAAGGGCTCTGCGTCACGCATACGCTGGCAAGGCATGCATACTTCACATGCTACAAGACAGATCGGTTTATATAGGTTTTCTGGACATTGTCAGCCATTAGTGCTTACTCTTTGTCATATCATGCTCTGAAACCGTACAACAGGGTCTTCCGCAGGCAAGAGACATCAATACTTGTCCACAAGTTTCAATGGAAATAATTGAAATATTTTGGTAGCTGCGACGACGACCTCGCTTGAACCAGAACCGAAAACACCATGCTTGCTTGCGCGACCCGAGCGACGTCGTCAAGGCCCCACCGGCAATCGGTTGCTGTTCGTTCTGGCGCACATGTAAGATACAACCCAGATGGTCTTGCACAAATTATGTCGTCTGAAAATGCAGCGCGTATCTCCAACCGAGGCACACGCCAAACGTCAGCAAATGTGCAGTGGTTACCTTATGTTCGCAGGAGGCGACAACCCAATCTTCCTATTATGTGGTCATGAACGTGTTCAAGGTGCGCACGGGAATGCCTTTATTATAGCAACACACGACCAAACGGATCCTCGCAACAATTACCAAGGCCCATGACACGTCGTGTGCTGGCACGGCACGCCGCACCAGTTCATGCCGTGCGTTGCCATGCCACCCCATTGGAGCATTTACTCACAAATATTGGTCTGTGCGTCTAAAGCGGTGCGCAAGCCGGTCTGGCCAGCCGTCGCAGCCCCGCCTCATCGGACCCCACCTGGCAGTGTCGCACTGGCCGCCCACATGGCCGCCTAGTTGCCGACACCACCCCTATCAATGCTATCAATGCTGACACCACCCCTAGCACTGGTTGCGGACACCACCCCTAGCACTGGTTGCCGACACCGCGCCTGCATCCACCCATCCGTCCAGGTGAAACCGGAGTCGTATTCGGACTTTGAGCAGGTCTGGAAAACCCGGGAGAGCCGCCTCAAGCAGATGCCGGGCTTCGTGCGCTTCGCAATGTTAAGATGTGAGATGGCGGCGGGAGGAGGGAGGGGAGAGGGGAACAAGCTAATGCCCGGGGTCAGGAGCTCATTGCCTAGAGCACTTAACGGCAGAGTCTGTGGTGTACAAAGTTTTCTCGGCAGTTTCTTCTCCCCCCTCCTCTCCTCCCCTCCTGGGCCGACGGAGGTTGTGTTCCGTCGCGCTCCGGAGCACTTTGTTCTGGGCGAAGGAGGGAAAGATAAGGCACCGGGACGCGTGAAAGGGCGGGATATATAACGGGATGTCGCTTTCCCGGCTGTCCGGTTGTCCGGGGTCTTTCCGCTTTGCACTGTGTCGGCTCACCGGGGCCATCAAAAGTAATCCAGGGCGGGTGGAGGAGAACGGCGCATCGAAAGACCATAACATCCCCGGCTAGCCACGGCCAGCCGCGCTACAACTGAAAGTGTCTCCTAAAGTGCAGACAGACAGGCAGACGCTTTCGGGTCCAAACAGGAGCCACCCAGCTCCGGAAGCAAGGAATGCTCGCTCGCTCGCTCGTCCCTCGTTTAGTGCGAAAAACAAACTACCTTTTGATTTCTCTGCAAGCTCGAAAAGTCGGAATACGTTTCCTCTTCGAGCACTCCTTACCGGTGGTCCCCCTCACGCGCCCCCTTGCTGCTCTCACCCTCTCCCTCACCCTCTCCCTCACCCTTACTCTCACCCTCTCCCTAACCGTTACCCTCACCCTTACTCTCACCCCCCAGGTGAAAACGTTCCTGGCAAGTACATCAGCCAGGCAGGTGGCGTGCATAGTATTCTCGCACCCCGAGGAATGCAAATACAGTCCATATCTGATCCATGACGTTTATCAATTCTATGTACGACATGGAAACAAGCCGGGGTTTCCCTGAAAGCGAAACATGATGAGCTCTCGCTTTTCTAGGTTTGTGAATCTTTACTTGGTGTATCACACGTACACCGGACTCCCTTTCACCTACAATCCGCATGAGCTAAAACACGGACTGGCAAACTTGATTGCTGCTCTCCTCTACACTTCCTGCCCATTTCCTGTGCTTGCCTGCCTGGCTCGTGGAGCTTTGGAGTGCTGTGAGGGGGGGGGTGTAAGTTGCGCCTTTGGATGGTGACGTGACTGCAAAAGGTGTAACATATGTACATACATACATAACATATCTCCACATTTGTCCCGTTCATCGGAAATCCTCTCCTCACGCGCTATTTGTCGCCACAGACGTATTGGCAGTCCAAGGAGGACTTCCAAAACTGGACCAAGAGCAGCCAATTCGCCGCCAGCCATGGCGGAGGCAGCGGAGGCAGTGGCAGCGGCAGCGGTGAGAGCAAGCGGCCCAACACCATGACAATGTTGGAGGGGCCGCCCTCCCCTGAGTTGTTCTCTACCGTCACCATTACCGAATAGGGGGGTCCTATAGCACAGCGAAGGCGTGGAGCAGCAGCAACGGCACCAACAACAGCATCAGGAACAGCAGGAGGAGGAGGAGCAGCAGGAGGGGGACGAGGAGCAGAGGGGGACTTCATGTCTTCAGTCAGAACCCGCAGTGGCAAGGGGTCGCGAAGGATTGCTGGGGTGATGATGGTGGCTGAGGAGTAAGGCTGAATTAGCGGATGCTGGGCCGGATGCGTCCAACAGGCTGTGAGTCTTGGCCCCAAGGAGACTATACTTAAAATCATTTAATTCATTTGAATTCGCGTGTCGAACACTGCCACGTGTGGAGATGTGCAAACAGCCTCCGTGCAGCATTTGAAAAGCCTCAAACGCGGTCAAGGCAACCGTGCCTGGAACATGGAGGGCTGTCTTGTGAGGTGGAGTGAGGGACGCGCCTCTTAAGGCCTTCATGGCCGGAGGTCAAACAATCAGTTGTTATCTCGAGTCATCTCCAGTTCTGTCGGACAACCCGGAATGAAGATCGGTTCGGTGCGCCTTGTTATGGGTGGGAAGTCACAGCTGATTGGAAGTTGCATCTTCGTGAGGTACTCGCGACTTGCGCTGTGCAGCAAGACTCCTTTTTTTTGTGAATTCCTGGCTCACCATCAGCTTGATAAGCTTCAAAGGACGAAGGCCACAAGGCCACTCCATTTTCAATTTCGTGCACCAATCGATGATCACTCATGTATAAAGAGAAACCAATCCACACCGCTGCAGTCTGTACGACTCATCACGCCCGTCCTCACAGTAATAGGTGTCGTCTCCTTTCCATCCGAAACCAGATGAGGCGTCAGGTCTGCGTCAGGTCTGCCCCCACAGCGCCATCTCCCCTTAGTTGCACATTCCTTCACCCATGACTCGCTCTCCTGCAATCATCCCTCCCCAACCCCCTGCCCTGACTCCTCAGTTTTCCCAGCACCACCAAAACACACTCAGCAATACAATCCCTAACCCTAAAACCCTACACCTTTAAGCGCCCCCCAACACACACACACACAAGCACGTATCCCCCTCCTTCCCCCCGTCCCTCCCTCCCTAAGCACACATTACCCACTCTCTCACCTCGCACTCCACAACAACACAAGGTCTCACCTCGTCGTACATGCACCACCACCACCACGACCAACAACAACACTGGAGGTGGAGGTGTACCCGGTTGGCGAGGGCAGCAACGTTGGAAGATCCCCCCGAGCGCAAACGGGTTATTGACCTTGACCTCCATTAGATCCCCGTCCCCTCCCCTCCCCGCCACACGCACACACATACACATACACACAGACTGACATTCTCTTAGGTTTAGAAGTCCAGTGGATTGAGCACCTGGCCCACCGCCATGGCCATGCGCGCTTTTCCAGCCAGCTCCTCGCGGTTGGCGGCGGTGAGGCCGTTTAGGAGGCAGCGCTCGAAAACAGCCACCGCCCGGGCCATCGCCGTGTGCCGCCAGGCCTCAGACTGGAGGGCCAGAAAGTGGGACAAGGAGTGTGTTAAGGGGGGGGGTAAGATGAACCGGAACACTGACGATTGAAGCAGATACCCGGCATCAGACAGAGATCGGCAAGCAAGGGAGGTAGGGGGTTTACGTGATTGTAACAAGGGGGGGGGATCGCAGGGCGTGCACAAGTCAAAGAACCAACTGCTGACGGTCCAAGCACTGTCCTCCCCAACACTGTCGCCCCCTACCGGGCCCTCTCCCACGCACCTTGCCAAGCCTCGAGCCGCCTTCCGCCGCGGTCGCCGCGGTCTGCCCCTCCTCGCCGCCGCCGGCGTCAAGCTTTGCCGCTGCCGCCTCCGTCGCCGCCTTGAGCTCCCCCAACAGCGAGCCCACCGTGGGCACCTTGTCCGGGTCGAAGTCATCCACCTCCTCGGGGTCCAGGGGCACACACACCTTGCCGGTCTTGGGGTGGACACAGAAGGGCGCCTAAACAGGGGCAGAGGGAGGGAGGAGGGAAAGATGAACCACGTGAACGAGTGAAGCTGCTGCTGCCAAGGAAAGAGTGTACAGGAGGGAGGGCGAGAATCTCAAGATATTGATGTTGATGATAGTGATGCGAGGAGGAGCTAAGGCGGTCAAAGGACATGTGTCCAAAGTGAGACGGTGTGACAGGATGTCCCTGGGGAGGGAAGGTGGCAGGGACGGGCACATACAGACAGGCAGGGAGAGATTCACGTGAACCAAAAAATGCAACACGCCCCCAAAATTAACTTGCCGACTTCACTACTACTACTTTTTGTACTTCCTCCTTAACTTCTTTATCTTCAACTCGCCCTTTCGAGCTTTCCTTCCAAGCCCACTTTGGAACTGGAACCCCCTCTTCACCTCTCGCTCTCTCCACACTGCATGCCTCCAACCGCCCTCCTCACCCCTCATCGCCCGCTTTTCACCTTAAGCAAGTGGTTCATTTTCTTGGACACCTCCATATCCAGCCGGGGGTAGGAGTGCGCCATGATGATCTCGTTGAGACAGCGCTCCAGGGGGCCCGTTACCTTGTAGTTGCCACCCCCGCCACCTCCGCCAGCTCCCTTGCCGCCCCGGGAGCGCTCCTCAGCCAACTGCCCAACAGAAATGTGCGGTGCGGGGTGAGGTGCGGGGAAGAGGAAGAAGATGAAAAGACGGGGCGGAGGTAAGATGGGAGGGGAGGGGGGAAAGGGTAGACGAGAAAGAAACAAAACAGAGTGGGGACGGATGGGACAGAGGTAAGGTGTGGGACGTGGGACGAACCCTGAACAGATATCGCAACACCGACATTAAACTAAAGTCTACCTTACGGAAATTCCACCCCGGCGGCCGTGGAGGCTGTAAAGCTTTGAAGTCTATTCCCAAACACCATTCGGGACCCCTTCATCTCCATTACGCTCCTCCCTTGAACTGGCCTCGGTTCCCCCCCCAGCTTTCACAAGCGCAGACATACACAAGCACACGTACGGACATACACACACTCCTCAATCCCCCTTGTTACCGTCCCCGCGCTCACCTTATTGTTTACCTCCGTCTCCAACACCTGCCAACGAACCAAATTGATGTCCTCACTCGTACGACTGATGACGCTGCGGGACGCTGCAGCGCGCGCGGCGGGGAGAAGCAGTAGCAATAGCAGCCGCTGTAGCCACAACAGGAACATCAATGCCAGGCAGCAGCAGCAGCAGCAGGAGGAGCAGCGCGAACGACGCAAAGGCGGAGGGGACGAGAACAGGGCTACTAGCCAAGCACTAAACTGCCAACCCCAGCCCATCCCTTCTTCTCCTCCGCGCATATCGCCTCTTTCATGTCAAGTCCTCCCCCATTCCCCCTCCCTCCCTCCGATCCTCACTCACTCACCCCACTTCTTCTTGACTGCCTCAATCAGGCCCTCGTCCGGCAGGTACTGCAGCAGCGTCTCGCACTTGGGACCGTCCTCCAGTAGCCGCTGGGCGGGAAGGATCGTCTGCGGGGTCGATAACAACAACAACAACGACCGCAACCACCACATGGACACATAGCCGTACATACACATTCGCACGACAGGTGAGGACGAGCAATGCCGCAAAGCGAAAAATACGCGAGGTGGCAATAACAGCAAGAGCAGCAGCGGCGTGATTTCTGATTTTAATTATCATAAGAGTATGTATGATAAGCGGTATGGAAAACGCGATCTTACACGCAACCAGCGTTTATGCCTTCACAATCATTAATCCCAGGATACATGAGGTGGTCATTTCCTTTCCCCTGCTTTCTGGTTATACTAATAGAATATAACCCCGCCCCACTCACCACCTCTCCCACCACCTCCGCAGCTCACCTCCAGCCACGCGGCCCTCAGCGTGCGGGCCGCCCTCTCCACGGCGGGGTGCATGGCCCCCACACCGCCCAGGAAGGCGATCTTGGCTCGGCCCTCCTCATGGCCCTTGTACATGGCGAACCAGTTGGCCACGGCGGACCGCTGCTCGTCAGTCAGCTGGCGGGCGCTGGGTACGGCAAAGAAGGGAAGGCAGCGGCGGTGCGGTGGTGTTGGTGTTGGGTGGTTTCGTGCTTCGTATGTATATATGTATGCATGTATGTATGTATGTACTGTTTCATGGACTGAGCTGCAAGGAAACCAATAATGCTAAGGACGGTCGTGTGTTTAGGGACCCCAAACACATGGCACGGAAGGAAGGCGGGCGGGCGGGGACAAGGGTGCACGGAGGAGGTACAAAGGGGGGGAGGGAAATGAAAAGCTTGCGAGTGGCATGTTAACAAGAAGAGGCGGATAATGTGTGCAACTGGAAATTTCCAACCGAACTCCCACACACTGCCAACGGACTTACCTAGGGTCGCACACCCAGCAATGCACTCCACGACGACCCGAGTACACCCACAAAATGTTCTGGAACCCGAACTCGCTCCGAAGACCCGCGTCGATGATCTGGTTGGTTTCATTTTTTGTTGGAAATCGAGTTGGGTTGCTGTGGGATGTTTTCTTTTAAGGGTTTCTAAAACTTCTGGATTGTGGGTTCAAAGACGAGGGTAATTCATTCCCGGTTTCCATATTGGTTTGTATGACATAAGTGTAAAACGCGGGAAGAAAAACGATGTAGAGCGTTATTAGCCACCGGTGAAGGCCACCGAGGCGCGGTAGACAATGGTTGAGCCGGGGTTTCGGGGTTTCAGCGGGATAAGTGGGACAGGAGGAGGGGCAGGGGGTGGCTCGCACTGGGTTATGGAAGGGATGCGGGATTGTCCCGATGTGGCGCACCCACAGAATGGGTGCACCCACACCCTCACTGGCCCCCACAGGCTCCTTTTATAGCCTTTTTCGCCTTGGAACCCCTAGGTTCGTTAAGGCGGGACCGCTTATTGCTTGTATAAAATCAGCGGATGTAACACACACACCAACAAAGGCCAAGCAATCTCTCTCTCCGCTTTCCCCCCCCAGCCCGCCGAGTTTATTCCCAGCTCTGCCGTCTCCTTCCCGTCGCAACCGTCTTAACAACCACCACAACCGCCATTGTAACCGTCTCATGTACCTTGACCGCCACCGCCATGAGCGGCCAGCACTTGGAGCAGATATGCGCGCCACTGCCGCACGTTCGTACATCATCATAGTCCGTCAAATCGATATCAAACACCAGCTCACGCTCCAGCGGCTGGAAGGACGCTGAGGAAAGGAGTGGGGGAGGGGGAGGGAAACAATGTGAGGAAAACAATGTGCGAAAGTAACACAAACATGCAAAATCCAAAGTAACGAACGCCAACCTCCAACGTCCAAGAAACTCTAAGCGCCAACAGCGCGCGGCTCGTCGAGTGGGAAACGGCGGGGGGGAGTGGGAAACAATGCTTGGGCGTCCATCACCGCACAGCTGCCCCACACCGCCGCCACCGCGGGGAATGCCAGGATCGCGTTCACGTTCACGCCCGCACGTACGAAAACGCACTCACCCCCGAACTTTTGTCGGTCTTGAGGGTTCGCGCTGTACACGGGCCCGATGTCTATCTTGGAGGGGCAACGCCGCTGGATGGCCTCTTGAAGAGCAGTGCCGTCCTGATTAGGCAATCAGCCATCAACCATCACAGCAAGGCCGGGGAAAGCAGTTTGATTTTAGTAAAACACAGGCTGGGGCGCCAAATCCTGCGGGCAAAACCCTACGGGTGGAGCGGAAAGAGGTTTTTGGCGGGAGGGCGGGGTGCCGTATTGCGAGCTGGAAGGGACGTGGGTCGGAACCAAATGGCCGGGCACGTAACGAGGTGACGGCGGCAGTAGAACCAGCAACATAGTTATACAAATAGTAGCGCCAGTAGCAACAGCAGCGTTTTATTCTGTACGTCTGGTCAGGTGTCAGGTCCCGGGTCAGGATGAACCATCAGCGAACCAAATGCGGCGGGGGGCCCCCTGCTCAGAGTTTCACTGGAGAGAGGTGGGGAGCTCGCGATGTGGTAGCGACCCGAGCGGCCCGGCCCTCACCTTGAAGGCCTGGTACCTGGCGAAGATGTCGTTGCCGAATGTGAAGCAGAACTCTCGCCGGTTGAAGTAGTGCGCGTCTGCTTGGGCGTGTTTGCCGTCTGCGCCGTCATAACGCGAGGAAGGGAAGGGAAGGGAGGAAACATGTCAAAGATACATACATACATACGTAGGAAGGCGAGATCCGAAGACCAGATCGCGTACAGAGTGCCGCCATGCCGCTGTGCAGGCGGTCGATTTTCGACCCCACCTGGCTCTGTCAGGGCTTTTTGTTGACATGCTTCTATCTTCTCTTCTTCCGAAGCACTTAAACCCTATATCACCATTCCAATCCCCGAGAGATGCACGCCAAATCCCGACCCCAGGAATGATCTCTGCGATTTCTTGGAAAGATTTCTTGGGTGAAAAGAGCGCTGTCTTAGCACACATGCGGATGTGCAGGTTTGAATGCTGCCGCGGGGTTCATATGCCGAGCCGCCACAGCACGCCACGCCAGTTGACCCAAATCAAGGTGGGGTTGGGGCAGCAAGCAACCCACATGGCCACGCAAAGGGTGGGGCCGGGGGAGGTATGGGGGACATATGAGGACTGAAAATGGGGTCGTGCGGGGTGAGAGTTAATTGTGATTAGGGGCAGGAAGTGAGTTTGCAGAGATGGAAGAAGTGTTGCTGGAGAGCGAGAAGGGGTAACAGGGATACAGGGCGAAAGTCTTTTGCTGGTCTATATTTCTGGATGGCACCATTAAGGGTTCGGGGGCCACCTGTTTCGCGTAGTTCAGATACCACACGATGCCACCTACCGTTCCCGTATGCGAGCCATTTCGCCATGTGCTGGTGGGGGAAAAGCTTGGCTGCAACAAGAACGCACAACTATTGTCGTGAAGCTCCAAGCACAACAAGCTCTGCAGGCGCTGTGCGCACCGTAATAGCTGGGCATGGCTTCCTGCACGTTGATTTCGGGCTCAGGGCCTGGCAAGACGACATCGCCTGTGTCATGTACCACGAGCGCTTAGCTATTAGCGCGGAAAAGGCGCCATGTGCTGCAGCCCCGTCCAGCGATTTGCCCCGTGACTAAACCGCTATTTGCAGGGCCAAGAGACGCACAGTACCTGCAGCATCTTGGTCAGTCCGCTGTCTTTTATTTACATCTGCAGGTGTTTGTCCAAATTGGTATGAGAATCGTGGTGCTCCACGGCTCCTGAAGCAGCTGTCTTCTTACCCGCCATTTTCGACAAACGTAACACGCGTCTGTCCTTTCTTATACCAGGGTACTAGTGAGCAGTATTAAACAATCATCCTTGTAGTGAAATGCTTGACTTGCCGCATATGCGCTCAATGTAGGACACTGTATTACAAACAATAACTTTAAATTGGGACGATCCGGCACAGGCTCTTTGCAGGCTAGACGCTGTCGCTGCCCTTGCACGGTCTATGCGGGCGATATACTTGGAAGCCTAGAGGTCGTCCCTCTGCCCTTTCTCCATGCCGCAATACTTTCCCTTTCCTTGCGGTGGTACGGCGACTCCATTCGACGGGACGCATCGCAACATGTTGCAGAACACACATGTTTATCAAGGTTTTCATTATGTATAGGGTTTGGAGGAAAAGTGACATGGTTATGCTACGCCGGATGACAGCTTTCGCCTTTCAGGCTGTGGACCAGCCCGAACGCAAGTCTACGCGTAACTTCCAATCTGGATGATTCCCGTATGAGTATTATGTAAGAGGGTTTAAGGGAACTGAATCCACATCCTCAGCATAGTAAAGAAGATGGGCGCCGTTCCGCAGTTAACCCTACTTGAGGCCATGCAGTTCCTGGTAGAGCCACTTGATTGTAATGCTAATCCAGCGGCCCAGGTTATGCTAGCAGCAGCAACGGCATGGGGACAAGGATCTTCTGTTCCATTTGGCCAACCGCTGTTGGAAGCGGTCTGTCGCGCATCCTGCAAGTTGCAAATCAGGCCAGCGATATTGCTCTTGGCAGCTGTAATTAGTTCCATCATTTTGGTGGTCATACTTCGTAACGCCTGCGTAAACCTGGTGCGGTGAGTTAATGCTTCCCATCGAATAGAGCAGACTCCGCTTCCCACGGGAAATGGACCGCTGTGCGTGAGGCGAGGCAACATGCAGCTTGATAAGTCTGGAATGGTAAATCCTAGGCCCCTAATGATGGCATGTGCTCGGTCTTTGTGTGTTGAAACGGTCAACACCATCCCGCTTTCCTGGGTTACAGTTTTTGATGACCCACATACGCCCATGCCCCTTATCTATGTACCTCATGCATATTAATCCTTTTTTTGACGGTGTCAAGATCAGCCACACACAGCGACACACCTCGCGAATGCACACAGATGCGCACACCGATACATGTGCACCACCACACCACACTGCACAATCACAGACACACTTATCAGTTATCATTTCCATCTCAGCTGGCACCGCGTATCTGTTATTACCAGGTGGTATGCTGCGGCGCGCGGTAGCGCCTTTGTGGCGGTCGCCTTTCGGGCCCTACGTGAACTCCACGCCAGCGGGGCCTTATTAGGCTCCGCCGCCGGCGCCGCGGATGCCATCGTCCTGCCCCGCCCTGCCCCCGTCCACCGCTGGTACACCCCCCCGTCGGTAACTGCGCCGGTGGTGTGCTGCGGCTGCTTCCAGCCCGTGGTGGTGGCGCAGGGAGCGGAGGAGCGAGCGCAGGTATGCCGTACATGTGTACAGCACGGTATGGCGCCGTAGCTGCGATTCCCTCCTCCAGATTGCGCATCGGCAGTCTTTCAAAATCCTTGCATAATGTATTATCGTCGTCATCATCATTGTCGTCATCGACATCATTACCGGCATCGACACCATCGTCATCATCGACATTATCATAAATGGTTTCCCTCCTGTACCATCATCATCGTCATTATGGCCACCACCGTTGTTTCCCCGGCCCTCCCCCAGTGTTGCGAGCTGTGCGGCATGGTGGCTCACGGTACCTGCGTCAAAGCCGTACCGCACAACTGTAGACTGCTGTACATGGACAGCCTCACACCGCCGCCGCCTCCACATGAGACCCCGCAGGAGCCGCAGTCCGAGCAGCCAGCGGCGGCGACGGCGGCCGCCGTGACATCCACAGCAACAGCCTCTGCCCGCGCGCCGCCGTCGCTGCCGCCCCCGCTGCCCCACGACTGGCGGCCCGCGGGCACCACCCTAGACCTCATATTGCCACCGGCGGTGAGGAGGGGGAGGAGTTGCCAGGGTGTCAGGACTTCAATGTATCCGCACACGGATTTATATATCTGTTTATATATTTATATATTTATTTATTTACTTATTTACCTCTTTTTATCTGTTTATTTGTCTATTTATTTATTATCTATCCATTCATCTGTCTATCTGTCAGTTTATCCATGATCTCTCTCTCCCTCTACTTTCTATCTATATGTTCTTTATCTACCCCCCCCCCCTCCCCGCAACATACACCCCAGGACACGGAAATGCTATTGATGGGCGGCGATAGCAGCAGCACCATGGCCGGGCCCCCTGGCGCCAGCACCAGCTCCTACACCTTCCCCTCCTCGTCATCGGCCTCTGCCACCATCACCACCACCACTATCTACAGCAACAATATTATCATTAACAACAATAACAACAACGCAGCGGTCACCACCTCGACCTCCTCCTCCTCTCCCTGTCACGGTCCATCCAGCTTGTGTATTTACTGCGGAGAGCCTTGTGAGGTGGGGCTGCTGGCGGTGGAGCCGGTGTGGAGGTGCGGAGGCTGCAGGTGAGCGGCTGAAGAAGCTGGGGGGGAGGGTGGAAAGGAAACCCTTATGTAAGGAGATATTATTATTGTTATTATTATTATCATCATTATTATTATTATTATTTGTTATTATTATTATTATATTATGTGTGTGAAGTATTGAGGTAAATTAAGCCTTATGCTAAATGTTAAGATTTAGGATTATTCAGCCCAGCCGGGGTTCAAAAGCACCAAAAGATATCTATGTGATACATACATACATACATACATACATACATACATACCGTACTCCCCTCAGGCGTTTTGCTCACGTGCAGTGCTGGTCCTGCCTCCACCCCGACGTGCTGTCGGCCGCGACACGTGCAGCTCTGGAGGGCCAGGCGATGGAGGCGGAGGAAATATCGGTGGGTGATGGTTACGGCTCGGGCTTAGGTTATGCGCGCCCTGACGAAACGGTTGAGTAACTCTTTATCCATTTACAACGCCGGGTGCCCGTACACTGCTCCGAAACCGGTCCTGGTGACTCGCGATTCTGCAGGGCTCTCCCCGCGGTGCCTCTTTACATTGGGATTCCCCAGGCGAGGGTGGCGGCGGCGGCGGCAACGCCGTCGCTGCGGCCTCGTCAGCAATGCCCATTACGGCCCGGCCGCTAGGTCACCCGGCGGCCAACACCGTCGCACCGTCGGACCAAGCCCCGGCCGCCCGGCCAACCTCCCGCCTGCGCGGCGTCAGCAGCGCCGCTGTAACGGCCGCAACCGCCGCGGCTGCCAACCGTAAGAGCGGCGGCGGCGGCGCCGCCGAGCATGTTCGTACCCATCGTCACTCGGCGCGTGTGCTGCCTACCGCTGCCGCCGCCGCCGCCGCCAATCCTTCCAGCTCCGGCGGCGGCGGCGGCGGAGGAGGAGTGACCTCCGGAAGCGGTGGCGGCGCCGGCAGTGGCAAAGCCTCATTGGCGCCACCGCCGCAACCCGCAGCAGCGGCGCCAGCGGCAGCGGCTGATGGTGTCTGGGACCGGCACCGGCGCTGCCACAGCCTGCCCGATATCGCCGGCCATGGCGGAGGCAACCGCGGCGGCGCCGCCGCTGGCGGAGCCGCCGACAACGCACACGGCCCCCAACACCGTCGAGGCGGGGCGAGCAGCGGATCAGGCGAAGAAGCTGTGACCTCAACATCACCGACTTCGGCTGAGCCGGCATCATCGCCAGCGGCGGCGGCGGCGGGGCCGTTGTACAGCACCGGGGGCCGGGTACCGCATGGCGTGACCCGTGGGTCGGCTGACAGGGGTCGCCTTGCCCGCCTGGACCGTTGCGACCCTCAGGTAGATAAAAGTATATAGACGTAGGTTTAGGTGGGCCTTACCTTTTTGCCCTCCTTTGCCATGTAGGACGGGGGAGAGAGGGGAAGAGGTGTCGTGTGATGTTGAGAAACAACAAATCAACTGCCGACGCCCAAAACACCGACTGCTGGAGTAGAGGGGGGTTGGTTAGCGTGGCTGTGTATCCCTACGCCTGTGCCTGCCTGTCTTGAATCCGCATACCGGCTGGACTCCTAGACTGGTTGGCAAGTCGCTGACTGTCCGCAGGTATTCGCTGACGCGACTCACCGGATCGACACTACGTGCTCATATTATTGCCTTTTTCTTTTTAGGCAGAGGCGGGTTTTCACATTGCCTCGCGTGAACTGCTGGGAACTGCTGGAAACTGCTGCATTCCCCAACATCCACAAAATGACTTCCATGCGCGCGTGTAGTACCGTGTGCGGCGTGTGCTGTGTTTCGGGACACACGGTTTTGGTCTTCTTCCCCCGACCGGCCCGTCCCTCCCCCTAGATCTCCCTGGGCCCCCTGGGTGCTATTGTCGTACCGCCGACCTCCGTGATATCGGTCAACGGTCGCAGTACGGCACCGCTTTTCATGGCGGATCTCTCCACGGCCGCAGCTGCGGCTGGCACAGGCGGAAGCGTCAGCACTGCCGGCGGCGGCGGCGGCGGCGGGCGTGGCCGCAAGAAGCAAAAGCAGCAGCAGTCGCATTTGGGTCGGACCCTACGGCAGCAGGCGCAGCAGTGGTATCGCTCCCACGCCGCCGGTTGGGCGCTCAGTATGGCGGCGGCGGCGGATGCTGCGGCTCCGGAGCGCTGGCGGCACTTCCGTATCGGAGTGCTGCCGCCGGGCTGCAAGCCGCTGTTGACGTTTATTAACCCGCGCTCAGGACCTCAGGTGTGTGCGTCTGTCTGTCTGTGTGTACACGTGTCTCTTAAAGAACCGGGAGACCAGCAAACCCACTTGCTCGTTTTTCCCTCCGCACCTTTAACCCGCCCATCGCACATTTCCTCCCTCCTTCCCTCCCCCTCTCCCGCTCTTCCCTCACTCGCCCTCCCTCCCCTGCTCTCCCTCCTCCTCCCCCAATCCCCCCTCCTTTTTTTCTTGACAGGCGGGAGAGTACCTGCGTCGCCAACTGTTGCAGCTGCTACATCCGATGCAGGTGGGGTAGGGGGCAGGAGGACAGAAACGCGCCTTGCGAAAGCAATGGCGGTGAGAGGTTGGGGAACGGGCATGGCCATGCCCGTGTCGCGTCGCGTCATTTTTTTACGTTGCGTCGTGTCCTACAATGCCACATCATGTGTATTGTGTCGTACCTTGACGAAGACGGGCGGAGCGTTTAAAGAAGATGTAGGGGTATGCACGACAAAACGTGTGTACGACATCGAACTACGGCAGCCCTTCTCAGCGACAGCCGGGCATCGGGAGAGGTGGCTAAAAGCTCTGATGATGTGATTTGTCTTTTCGGCGCACCTTGAAGCCGCACCGAAAACTGCAAAGACACTGCGCGCTTAGAGACGTTGGGCTTGGTTTCGGGAAACGCAGGATTGGGCACATAATTTCCGTACATGGTCGTCGTACAAGGATACTCAGCCCACATCGTCTTGACTGTGTCTTTGCCGATCTTACCTTCGGGTGCTGTACGGATGCGAACTCGAGCTGATCGATATCGATGTCCAAAATGTGTTTGTCGTACGGTCGTACAGGTGGTGGATCTGGCCCGGGAGGTTCCTGGTCCCGCACTTCGTTGTTGGTGGGGGATACCTGGGCTGCGTGTTTTGGTGATTGGGGGTGACGGCACCGCCGGCTGGGTGCTAGGGGAGTTGGAGGCGGTGGCGGCGGAGATGGCGGCGGCGGCGTCGACTGCAGTAGCAGCGGCAGCGGCGGCGGCGGTGGCACAAGGGAATGGAGATCAGGACGAGCAACAGGCAATTAATGGCGGCGCCGGCGTGGCGGCGCCGGCGGCGGCTCCGCCGCCGCCGCCGCCGGTGGCAGTGCTGCCGCTGGGTACAGGTAATGTATGCCGTACGTGTGCGCGCGCTGTTGTGTGTGCCGTACATATTTGTTTCTAGTAGGTCTGTGTTTACCCTCCAGCGACAACTGACAATAGATTACGTAGGTATCTTGCCTTGGCTTGGAACTGTCCTGGTTCTAAGTCATTTGTCCTGCTCGTTTCCTAATTAGGCCTCATGTTGCCCCCCTGATTTGCTAAGTAAACCATTATTTCCCCTCCCATTTCCCTTCCGCCGAGCTTCGCTCCCTTTTCCTAATTAGGCAATGGCTAGCTATGTCTAACATAATTGTGTATGTGCAATATGGCATCTATGTCCAATGCTTATAAAGATTATTCCGGTGTCCTCTTTCCTGATTAGGCAACGACCTGGCTCGCGTGCTGGGCTGGGGCGGTGGCCTAGCGGCGCTCGACGCCCGAGGCGGTGTGGCGGGAGTGCTGGCCGAGGTGGTTACAACCGCCGCACCAACCCCCGTGGACCGTTGGGCTCTCAACATCGCAACCGCCACAACCGACACGGCGGTAAGGGAGCGTTCCGTTCCAGCTCTGCGGTCTTTGCTTCTTTTTCTCCGAAGGATGGATGGGGAGGGGGGAGTTGGTGGTACGGATGTACGGCGTCGTGGACGGTAAAGAGGGGGCACGAGCAGGCAGGCAGGCAGCGAGCACGCAGTACAACGTCAGGTGCATGTATTACATACGGTGATCAGGAGAACGCAGGATCAGGAGTTTTCGTTGGCCCCATATGTCCGATGTTTCGCTTAACTGGGCTGTCCACTTGTAACCGCCTGCCTGTAACTGCTAACTACTAACCGTCAACCACCTCACAGAAGCGGCGTAGCTCCTTCCTACCTCGCCGCCGTCAGCCGCCGCCGGTCGCCTCACGAAGTCAGACGCAACTTGTCGTCAAGGTACGGCAAAGTACAACTGCGGTGTGACTTTGCCGTACGTTGTTGTACGTTTCCAAAAAACATCCATGACCAGGTGCATATGTCTGTGGGGATGTTGTGACGCCGGTGGTGGGCCCGAGAGGCCCCCCAGAGCTCTGATGGCGACATTAAAGGGCGGGCTCAAGAAGCATTTACTTCAAGATTTGTTTATTGTATTTGTTTATTATGATTATTTCTCTTCTTCCTCACCTCACCCGCACTTCTTCTTCCCATTCCGCAGAGTCCGCTCTCCTCACCGTCGTCATCTTTACGCTCGCCTCCCCCCTCCCTTCCATCAGCCTTGCCCTTCCATCAGCTTCACTCGCTCGTGGTTCGTCTTTCCCCCCCCCCCCCCGCCCCGCTCTGTTTCCTTTCCCACCCCCTCCCGCTGCCGGGTTGCTGTCAGGAAGTCAAGACATTCAACAACTACCTGGGAGTGGGTATCGACAGCTGGTGTGCTCTGGAGTTCCACAGAGTATGTCGTACGTCAGTGGTTGGGAGTTTGTCGTACGTTAGTGGTTGGGAGTTGGGGGAAACCCTGCTGCTGTGCTGCTACTGCTCCCCCCGGTTTCTTTTCGCAGTCTCAAACTTTCTCATACCCGCACCCCTTTCCCGTCTTAAAAAAAGTCGGTAATGATGTATTGGACTTATTAGTTCCGTTACACACGTACGGGCAGTGGCCTCATTCCGTACTTTGGACTCCAGCTGCAGAGGGGGTTACTTCGGATGACGTCAGACGGCAGCAGTGAGATCCTCCGTTTTTTGTGCAAATAATCGCTGGGTTTAATCCCCCGTGCAACAAAACACATCTGCTACCCCTCGTTTTCCCCCTTCCCCCCCGCCCCCCCTCCCCTTCTTTACGGCCTCGTGCTACTACTTTCTTCCGCTATTACTTTAGCCTTGGCGGCTAGGTAGGTAGGTAGGTTTCCGCGGTCATCATCAACACATCAGCCCGAGGTCGCCTGCTTCAAAACCGCCTACTGGTCAGTTCTTGTACATTCTTTCCTTGGCAGCAGCTTTTCACTCGTTCACGTGGTTCGTCTTTCCCCACCCCACCCCAACCCCCCTCTCCGACCCTCAGATGCGAGAGCGGTACCCCGGGTGGTTCAAGTCCCAATTAGGCAACAAGATGTGGTACACGGGGGTGGGTGCCCGGGACCTGCTGGCCAGGAGCTGTGTTGACCTGCCCAGCAGGTTGCAGGTAGGTGAGAGAGAGGGGCGGTGGGGGGGTGGAGGAGAGGAGGGCGAGGGGGGAGGGGGGGTGGGGGGAGCTGAGGTAGTTAAAGGAGGCAGAGACAGTTTTCGTGTACAGAACTCCCCCTCAATGTCCTTCAATCCGTACAGCTCCTCAAACCCCTCAAACCCCTTCAATCCCTAGGTTGATGATGTTTTGTATCAAATGATTGTACCCCCGGCCCTTCCCCTTGAAATCTCCCCCCCCTCTCCCCCTCCCCCCTCCCCCCGCCCTCCCCCCCACCACAAAACACACACACACTCTCTCTCGGATTTGGATCCGGTACGGCAGCTGGTGTGCGACGGCCTTCCCGTAGAGCTGCCCCCCTCAACCCAGGGCATACTGCTGCTCAACATCCCGTCGTACATGGGGGGTGTGGATCTGTGGGGCAATGGAGTGTCTCAACAGCAGCAGTGGGGTGAGGCGGCGGCGGTTGGTGCTGGAGGTGGGCTAGCCGGGGTGTCCCGGGGGTGTCCAGGTGTACGATAAGGCAGTGGTGTGTGTTTATGTATCTTTGTGTGTTTGTGTGTTTGTTTGTTTGTATCTTAGTGTGTTTGTTTGTTTGCATCTTTGTGTGTTCGTTTGTTTGCATCTTTGTGTGTTTGTATGTCTGTATGTGAGTATGTATGTATGCATGCGTGCATATCTCGCGGCTTGAGGGTGCGGATGGGTGGGTGGCGGGTGGCGGGAGCGCGAGAGAGGAAGACGACATGGGGGGATGGCTTGGCGCTGTGTTTACTTCCCATTTTCATTTCTCTTTATTTGCCTCCTCCTCATGGCCGATCTTATAAAGCAGAGGATGAGTGCGCTGTCTGAACCTATTGGGACAATCTCTCCACCACTACTACCACCACCACCATCGCGCTGCCAATGATGAATGCACTGCACTCTGCTGACAACCGTCAACTGTCAACTGTTAACCACCGTAGAGCCTAATTCGCCGGAGAGAGTTAACGCTACCACAAGCGCTGCCGCCGCCATAACAGCAACTGCCAACATGAATGGTAACGGCTACAATGGTGCTGTGCAGCGCCGCGGCGGCGGCGGTGGTGGCGGAAGCGGCGGCTCTCCTTCCGGTGGCACCTCCAACACGTCCGGCGGGAGGTCCCCCGCCGATGCCGTACAGCCACAGCCACAGCAACCGACACCACCGATGCCGACGTTACCAACACAGCACTTACAGCCCCATCCTGAGGTGCCGCAGAGCATCAGCGACGGCGTTCTGGAGGTTGTCGTAGTGTACGGCGCAGTACACCTGGGCCAGCTGCAGGTGTGTATGGCACATGGCGTAAATGCGGGGATGTGCACGGATGTACGACAAGACCATGAAGGAGCCGTTGGTGAAAATATGTATAGGCCCGGGGGTTCTGGTCCTCAACTTCTGCGGGGGAGGGGGAGGATTCGAAACAGTGAGGGCATTCCAAGCCAAGGGAGAGGAGCGACCCACGGGTCAGACCGGATCGGATCAAATCGGATCGGAGTTGGGTCTAAGAAGAGCGAACCGTGAGTCGGCGCAGTTCCCAGAGCGGGGATCCCCGGGGGGAGGGGAGCGACCCACGGGTCAGATCTGTCGAGAGCTTCCACGCCGAGAGCTTGGACGCCGCTGCCAGCACACCGCCGCTGCCGCCGCCGCCGCCTGACCGCGACCTCAACTCGATCCCGAAATCCCTACTTACACACGTCTACATTGCCCCCGCCCACCTCGCCCGCCCCCCGCACACTCCCTGTTACCCCGTTGTTGACAGGTGGGCCTTGCTCGTGCCACTCGGCTGTGCCAGTGCCGTACAGCCGTCATTACAACTCGCCAGGCCTTACCCATGCAGGTGGTGCGGGGGTTGGCCCAGGTGCCACATGCAGTCGGTCGGGCGGAGGTCGGTAGTCGGGCGGTCAGTCGGGCGTCTTACTCCCCCACCCCCACTTCCCGGCCCAACCCTTCCCACCCAACCCCGCACTCCCTCGCACACACCCGGTAGGTGGACGGAGAGCCGTGGATGCAGCCCCCTGCCCAGCTGAGCATCAATATCAAGGTATGGCCTGGATGATGGAGGTGCCGGTGTGTCCGTATGTTTGTATGTTTGTGTGTGTGTGTTGGAGTGCGTGTGATTGTGTCTGTGTGCGTGTGTGTGCGTGGGAAGGAAGATCAGGAGGTGGGAGGAGGCCCCGCCAAAAGCAGTGGCATGGCGGGGACTACCTATACTCCCAACCACCACTGCCCTCCGTCCCCCTCCCCGGCTGTCGCTGGTCGTGGTGTCAGCAGTTTGGTATTTTGCGATGTGTGGGCACGTGACCTCCTTTGCTCCCCTTGTCACCATATAAATCCCTCCCTCCTCTCCCCATCCCCATCCCCATCCCCATCCCCATCCCCATCCCCTTTCTCATCCCCATCCCCATCCCCATCCCCCCTCTCTCTCTTTCCGTCATACACACAATTAACAAACAGGGCAGCGCCATGATGCTTCGCCGTCGGGACCTGAGCAACGCCACCTCCCGTCTTACAGCCGCCGTGGGGGAGGTGTTGGATGGCGCGGTGGCGAGAGGGACCATCACCGCAGTGCAGAGGCAGGCACTGGGGGCGGAGATCGCGCAACGGCTGCGGGCGCCGCATGCGGTCTAGGGAGGGCCGCCTAAGGGACCCCCCCCACTGGAGGAAGAAAGAAGTCCATGTTGTCAAAATCGCGTTTCAGAAGGGAAAGAAGAGGAAGTCGACGAGGGCGTTTGCACAACCAGGCCGCAACAGCGAATTGGTGGAATGCGGCGATGTGTCGGGTCGTTCTAACTAAGGGTTTTAGCTACGTAGGGTTTGACAAGGGCTGAGACAGAGTGTGTTGCGCTGTGTCCACTATCCTAGTAGCCGCAGCGCTGATGTGTCACCACCCGCGGCATTCTACTACTGCAGTAGCCAGGCGCGCTGTGTCCACTAAGCTAAAAAGGGCTCAGCCTTGGTGCAGCCAGTCGCCCTGCAGTATTCCGCAGGGGAGGCTGTACGGCGCTGGGCTACAAGTGGAGGAACGGCGTCGTGTTTGAACTATGCGCGCGTGATTATGGGGATAGCTGCGAGGGCCGGGTGCGGCGGCGTTAGGAGCCATGTACACCCGTGCTCCTGCTAAGGCGCCCAGACAAATCCATGGACGGTGCATTGCGCGCCGCCTTCATCTCAACAAGAACGGCTGAGCATTTAGCCGCCTGGAAATATGCGCGAAGCCAGCCATTTCCAGTCGAACTGGAGGATAGGACATGTATCGAGATGTGCATTCGGAGCAGAAGGCAAGGAGGGAAGTGCTGAAGCAGTTAAAGGCATGGATGGGCTGGATTTGCGGAGTGTGGCGGAGCTGAACCATAGCAAATCCAAGGAAGTCCACGGAAAGAGCGAGAAAACCGCGCGGCCGCACAGCAACCAAAGCAGCATGAGCAGAAGCAGCGTGCGCCGCAGCGTGCAGGCACACCGCACCCCGTATCGCATAAAAGGGTAACCGGTAACCGACCGGTTTGTCAGAAACCAACCAGCTTCGGTCGCTTCGGGCTTCGGTAGGGTAACCGACATCTTGAGGTAACGACCCGGTAACCTTACGGGTCGGTTACCATCAGACATCGGCAGCTCTTAGGCGCACAACACACCCTATTGCAATCCTATTGAAAGAGTAAGTTGATCTGCTACTGCCTGTGCCACCGGACAGGCCCAGAAATGATGACAGCGAGGGGATACACCTCCCACTGAACCTCCCACTGAACCTACTGGATAACCTCCACAACCAAATACTGTTGGCCGCGACATCCTAAGATGGGAATTTCCTAACATAGGCACCCCATCAACCGTGAGACGCCACCAAACCTCTTTTTGTTCATTTTCCCATCGTAAATGAGACCATAAACGATGGAATGTCCGTTGCAAAAGAAGAATTGCCTCATCCAATACCTCAAAAGAGCCCGTCGCCTCTTTGATGAAGAGGGTGTGGGCCACACGGCGAGCCATCGAAAATGGTGCCGTTAAAAAAATATTGGGTTGCAGTAAAACAGGCGTCCTAAACGTTCCCAAGACCACAAAACTGCGGTTGCCGACGTCTTGTTACCATACCGACGGGTAACCTCACCTGTCGGTTACCCCCAGTTACTGGTTCGCTCAATTTGTCGGTTACCCTACCGACCGGCCAGGTACCGAAAGCGACCAGTTACCGACCGGTTTGGTAGGGTTGTAAGCGACTGCTGGTGACAAGCAAAAGGATAATCCATACAGGCACTTGGCGATGGGAAAAGCGCTAATCCAGCCACCAAACGGCCTTCCGACAGTCTTGACTGCCGCGGCCAAAGAACCGCAGGGCCCACCACTACCCTGCAGTGAAGGACCCTGGACAATACGGACGGTGGTTGGTTCCAGTCAACAGCAGCAACACCCATTGGTGGCTGTTGGTCGTCGACACCAGGGCGTGTGTCATGACTGTGTACGATTCCCTCGAGGCCACGGGCGCACACCAGGGTAATCAAGATGGTGTCCCGATACTTCATACCGGTCAAAAACCCTGCGGCGTGGGAGATCCGGCATCCTGACGTCCCCAGGAAGAACCATGCCCAGAGCTGCGGCTACTATGTGGCCCAGTTTGGACGGCGCCTGGGCACCGGACAGAGCGTGGGCGCCTTGCCAGTGAATGTCAGCGAGATCGTTCAGACAGTGCTTTCCATGATTCTGGGCTTCAACGTTCACAAGTTTAGGGCATAGTTGAACTCACTCCATGTACCTTGTCTTCCTGATACCGTGTTCTGGCGCCCTGTGTCCACTATCCTAGTAGCCGTGGCGCTGACGTGTCACCACCCGCAGCATTCTACTAGTGCAGTAGCCAGGCGCGCTGTGTCCACTATCCTAGTAGCCGCAGCGCTGACGTGTCACCACCCGCGGCGTTCTACTAGTGCAGTAGCCAGGCGCGCTGTGTCCACTATCCTAGTAGCCGTGGCGCTGACATGTCACCACCCGCGGCATTCTACTAGTGCAGTAGCCAGGCGCGCTGTGTCCACTATCCTAGTAGCCGTGGCGCTGACATGTCACCACCCGCGGCATTCTACTAGTGCAGTAGCCAGGCGCGCTGTGTCCACTATCCTAGTAGCCGCGGCGCTGACGTGTCACCACCCGCGGCATTCTACTAGTGCAGTAGCCAGGCGCGCTGTGTCCACTATCCTAGTAGCTGCGGCGCTGACGTGTCACCACCCGCGGCATTCTACTAGTGCAGTAGCCAGGCGCGCTGTGTCCACTATCCTGGTAGCTGCGGCGCTGACGTGTCACCACCCGCAGCATTCTACTAGTGCAGTAGCCAGGCGCGCTGTGTCCACTATCCTAGTAGCTGCGGCGCTGACGTGTCACCACCCGCGGCATTCTACTAGTGCAGTAGCCAGGCGCGCTGTGTCCACTATCCTAGTAGCCGCGGCGCTGACATGTCACCACCCGCGGCATTCTACTAGTGCAGTAGCCAGGCGCGCTGTGTCCACTATCCTAGTAGCCGCGGTGCTGACGTGTCACCACCCGCGGCATTCTACTAGTGCAGTAGCCAGGCGCGCTGTGTCCACTATCCTAGTAGCCGCGGCGCTGACGTGTCACCACCCGCGGCATTCTACTAGTGCAGTAGCCAGGCGCGCTGTGTCCACTATCCTAGTAGCTGCGGTGCTGACGTGTCACCACCCGCGGCATTCTACTAGTGCAGTAGCCAGGCGCGCTGTGTCCACTATCCTAGTAGCCGCGGCGCTGACGTGTCACCACCCGCGGCATTCTACTAGTGCAGTAGCCAGGCGCGCTGTGTCCACTATCCTAGTAGCTGCGGCGCTGACGTGTCACCACCCGCAGCATTCTACTAGTGCAGTAGCCAGGCGTGCTGTGTCCACTATCCTAGTAGCCGCGGTGCTGACGTGTCACCACCCGCGGCATTCTACTAGTGCAGTAGCCAGGCGCGCTGTGTCCACTATCCTAGTAGCCGTGGCGCTGACATGTCACCACCCGCGGCATTCTACTAGTGCAGTAGCCAGGCGCGCTGTGTCCACTATCCTAGTAGCCGTGGCGCTGACATGTCACCACCCGCGGCATTCTACTAGTGCAGTAGCCAGGCGCGCTGTGTCCACTATCCTAGTAGCCGTGGCGCTGACATGTCACCACCCGCGGCATTCTACTAGTGCAGTAGCCAGGCGCGCTGTCCACTATCCTAGTAGCCGTGGCGCTGACATTCGATTTCTGGGGAGACCCCGGAATTAGACGGGAGCGCGGGATTATGGCTAGCTGCTGAGATGTGGAGTTGAGGTCACAGTTGATGGACCAGATTCGCACGTTGGATTGGTGGCGATTGCCGAACCCTCCGTCTCTTCGGGTGTTCGGGTGAATGGATGAGGAGGGGTCCCTGAAGGCTGGATCCGCCGCCTTGGACTTACAGTTCGTATGGCGAAGTACAGTGTGGTAGTGGTGGATGGTGCTATAAGGTGATAAATGATCGTAGAACTGACAATGTGATAAAGCGGCCCAGAAGCCTCCCACTCTGTAACATTTCATTACATTACATTACATTACATTACTAGTGCAGTAGCCAGGCGCGCTGTGTCCACTATCCTAGTAGCCGCGGCGCTGACGTGTCACCACCCGCGGCATTCTACTAGTGCAGTAGCCAGGCGCGCTGTGTCCACTATCCTAGTAGCCGCGGCGCTGATATGTCACCACCCGCGGCATTCTACTAGTGCAGTAGCCAGGCGCGCTGTGTCCACTATTCTAGTAGCCGTGGCGCTGACGTGTCACCACCCGCGGCATTCTACTAGTGCAGTAGCCAGGCGCGCTGTGTCCACTATCCTATTATCCGTGGCGCTGACATGTCACCACCCGCGGCATTCTACTAGTGCAGTAGCCAGGCGCGCTGTGTCCACTATCCTAGTAGCCGCGGCGCTCACGTGTCACCACCTGCAGTGTTCTACTAGTGCAGTAGCCAGGCGCGCTGTGTCCACTAAGCTGATCGCGGACTTGGATCACCGTTGGTTTGGGTGATGTCGGGTTTTTGTTTGTATTTTACGGGGGTTGGAGGGGTTTACTCCTGGAGCAGTTGCTCCAGGTTCCGATCCGAGTTGCGGAAGCGGAAGAGCGGTGTGCTCTGTAGAAGCGGGGTTGTCAAAGGATTGGTACTTGCCCTGTTGGGAGCAGGGAGGGGAGCGATGTGCATGGGCATCAGCAAGGTGAGGGAAAGGGCATGGACGACGAGAGGAAGCTTCAGGTTATGCGCCATTGGTATTCGCAGTACTGCTGATCTCCTTGCGTGTTCAATCTTTCTGGACAGGCCCAGGCCCCTAGACAGGCTCTTGGGCCCCAATCCCTCAGGCCTCCGGATATGTATGGATCCCCCCCAAGTTACAGCTTTGGGAAGTAACAGACACACACATACATACAGGCACACATACAGGCACACATACACACAGGGCGCGACTGCAGGGCACCTATGAACAGGAGGCGCGTGAGTGGCCGGGAACAGCTGCTGCAGCTGCAGCATCAGCGGACATAGCAGACGCAGTAGCCCCCACGTCATTTGTGCGGGATGTGGTGCGTCGGCTCTGGCGCATCAGATGGGGGGGGGCGGTAGCGCAAGGGCACGCTGTGGCGCCCGGCAACACGCAGGAGGAGGAGCGTGAGGCGGCAGGGCGTGCACCTGTGACGTCATAGAGCTCCAAGCGCACTCACACAATCCACGCCAAAAAGGGTGATATGTAGCTATGGCTAATTTGTCGTGATATGCTTACTGGCAATGCTGGTATAGTACTCGTGAGTAGGAATTCTTGGCTGTCACTTGACAGTGTTCACGTCAGCATGGGTACGCGCATATCGTAGCCATCCGGGTACGGACTTTCAATGTGTGAATGGACATATATATGTGCAAAGGGCACCGCCATGTCAGGGTCGTATGGTATTGTATTGCTCGGGATCTAAGCAACGCTGATGCAATATGCTGCCTTGGCCTTTCGGACTCGGCAGTGGGGGTATTCATTCCCGGGAAGGCACATGCAGGAGAGGCGTCAAGGAGGGGCCGCGGCCAAGGACAGGGGAAACCGGGGGCCACAAAACACAACCATCAACTTCGCCACACTCCGCCAAACTCCGGCCCATCCATGCCAACTGCTCCACCAAGACTGCCCAACTCCTAAGAAGAATGCCCATGTATGCATCTTTCCGTTGTTTCAGAGTGGGAGGCTTCCGGGCCCAGGGAACACACACTTGGAATGTCACATCTAGGATTGAACACCCTACAGCACCATCCACCATTACCACACTCTACTACGCCATAAGACTGGAAGTCCAAGGCGGTTGATCCTGCCTTCTAGGATCCCTCCTCATCCTTTCACTCGAACATCCGCAGAGACAGAGGTTCCAGCAATCGCCACCAAAGCAGTGTCTCCAGACCAGACTTCATTTAACATACGTTGTACGAAGGTAAATTTCAAAGCCTGGACACAAACAGTTTCAGGATCCAGTGCTCGTCATGTCACCCCAGTGCGCAATGACGAGCATCCATAACCTTTGAAAACCTATACAAATTTTGTGGTTGCAACTTGCTGATGTGTGTGAAACAGGGGGGTAAATCTTCACCCGTGGCAGCTACCCTGCGAAACCCTGCCTTCCCCGGTATTTCGGGGCACCCTCATCAAATCACCCTAGTCAACTTATCCGTGGATCGCTCAGGTTCCGCACCCACCACCAGCATCCGACGGAGTCTGCCGGATCATCAGCGGCCCAACTCCAATCCTGGTCGGCTCGCAGGTCACCACCGTCCATCAACTAGGGGTGCAATACCTTCCAATATCGAAGGATTCTGGACTCTAACAGGTCTCGATCCCGGAATCACCCGGGGGCAATGGTCGTGCGTTGCCAGTGGTGCCTAACTCTGCCAGTGGTGCATAACCCTTGCTGTATACAAGTTTACAAGTTCCGCGCGATTGCGGGGGGCCATGGACTATATATATTGAAAGTTGATTCCACCGTACAATCGAAGGCCCTGCAACCTAGACAACTCCTGATCCGTAGAGGCTTCAGCATGTGAAACGTAATTGTCCATCATCTAGAACTCATCTCCACACCTCAGTAGCAATTCGTAAACCTAATTCTCCCGTAATTCTCCTGTAAATGGAGATACGCTAGAGAACCTTGTTCACCATGTTCGCGTAGAAATTCGCATCCTGGGAAAAGCAGCTCAAAACATAAAGGATTGTTTTTATAGAATCGGATCTTATGTATGCCTCTGCAAGCCTGGCGACAAGCTGCTAGTCGATGGCTAAGAAGCACTTGATCCTCTGTATTTGTCGCCAAGTGCCTTTATGGAGGTCATTCGGATTATCTTTGCTTGCCACCAGTCGGTAACAACCCTACCAAAACGGTCGGTAACTGGTCGCTTCGGTACCTGGCCGGTAGGGTAGCCGACCTAACGATCTAACGACCCAGTAATTGGGGGCCAGACCAGAGGTCGGCAAATCGGTTTCTACGGCTGCGGGAGGCCATAATTTCGGTCAGTAAACCTAAAAGCATGTCAAAGTCAAACACAGACTTCAAGGCCAGCGCGCGGCCCTACTGGCCGCAATGGAGGCTGCAAGTCACGTTTTCTAATCAAATTTTGGTCATTAGGGACCCGTCGCCTTACGGGGTCAGAAGCCGAATTTTGGCTGCGCGTACTGTGGTACGGACGTGCAGTACCCGCCTTATTTGCCGACCTCTGGTCACTGACCGATGAGGTCACCGGTCGGTAAGGGAAATACCAGTAAGGTTTTTCCCGGTTCGTTACCGGGTCATTATGTTGAAATGTCGGTGATCCTTATAAAGCGACCGGTTGGTTTATAGCTAACCGGTCGGTTGCCGACCTTTCTATGCCATAGATGTTGCGGTGTGCAGCGTGCGCACGCTGCGGCGCACGCTGCTTCTGCTCATGCTGCTTTAATTGCTATGTGGCCCCTATCCAGCCTTCGGCGTTGCACACTGCAGTGGCAGCTACACCACTCCATTCTCGGTCCGAAAAGGTAGCTGCTGTTCACTGAACTACAGGAGGGAGCTTGGAAATGCGTGAGTATTCGGTTTCCTAGAATGTTACGTCCGCGCAGTGTGCGAGGCATCCGCATGAAATGCCCGGCACGAACCCTAGGTAGTCCAACATTTTAAAGCGCTGAAGCTAGAGCAGGAGCTCGTCAGGACAGAGTCGAACCAACGTAAACCTTAAACTAGGGTTAAAGGTTGGCACGATGGCTGCCAATATGGCTCCGGGTTGTGCCTCTCGGAGGCGGCTCCTGGAAGCCCCTTTACCGGTATAGCGCAAGCTGCAAAATATTTCGCTGTAACTGTCGTTTTGCTGCAGGTAGCATGGCATCACACGAAGCCCTGCACGGCCTTGTAGAATTTATCGCGACGTTTACACGCGACGATTAGACTCGACAAGTGCTAATATAAATGCACATCTTTACCCGCGTAAGGGAAAACATAAGCAACCTGTTTGCAAGGCCTCTGAAGATCATTTCGGATATCAGAAGCGGTCATCACACGAGACATGTGTGCAAAGAACGACGCCACAGCCATACACACTACGGTACATACGACTCAACTACAGAGTCCACAATTGCAAATTTATTTCCCCGCCAACTAGCGCACGGACGGCCCTCAGAATTGCGCAGTTACCCTGGAGCAGTGTAGTGGCGCCATTCTCGGTCCTATAGAATGGAGCTGGTGAATTGTGCTTCTAGGTATAACTACAGTTGTGACCTTGACGAACTGCTACTGTCGCCCATTTGTGCTCACTAGACGACTTTCGGATCCCTCGGTCATCCTTCATCTTTCCTCAATGTATCCAAACAAGACCTGCTTCCATGAAAAAGTCGCAAGGATACTACTGTAAGGTCTACTACAGTCTTTTGGCACTTTGCTACTTGGAGGTAAGGGGTCTACAGTGCAAGCGTTCAGCTGGGGCGCGGGGTTCGCTCAGCTTCGCTAGCCGAAAGAATCAATCCTTGGGCTCTTCTCTTATGGCATGTGATGCTTTATTTAATCTCTGTCAGATCACCGAGCTAATCGACTATTGTCGCCCTAAGTGTTGACTTGCACGCGCTGTCGCTTTTTCTGGGCGCAGGTCCTCCTTTGGACTTTCTGCTTGATTGCGTCCTGCGCTGCTCCAGTACACGGTCATAGCTACCTTATTCGAGAGACTGTAAGTACACTAACTGTACAGAACTTGCGCGGGCTTTCTAACGCTTGAAAACGACGGCGCCAAAGGCCCTTGTTGTTTTACCCCTCCATATGGGCCAATCCGCTCCTTTTATTGCAGCAAACCCTCAAGCTTGCTACCCGCCCGGTTCACCCGGCCGTCGTCGGTTCTACTCATCTCCGGCAGCCCAAGCTGCTGTGGCGGTTCGAGCGCAAGAGCGTCAGCGACCGCAACGCCGAGCCATCAAAGTGTTTTCCTAGTGCGGAACAATCTGGCTTACTAGCGGCCCTCCGCGGCTTCACCGTGGTGAGCCTTGAATGTTGGCGCGCATGTCGGTCTGCAGACCTGTCGAAGCTTAACTCGTACGATCTTCATTTCTCTGATTTGCAGGTAGCTACCGGGTTGCCTGCACCCTACACAGGCATTAAGGCGATTTCGTGAGGAGATAGCGTGTTCAAGCAGTGGGCGTGAAGCGACGCTCGTCGGCGTTGCAAGGGATTAAGTGGAGGCAGCTGACAGCTGAAGAGTCGTGATACGTAGCACTTAGCTTCAGGAGCAGTACTTGGAAGAAGAGATTGTACTTTGGCAGCACGTGCAGTTTTGCAGTGTCTGATATCAGTCGCAGGATCAGTTTGCTTCCCAGTACAGCAATTTGGTTGTTCAGAAGACCGTGTATATATTGCCAGCCGCGGTGCCGGAACTGCTGGCGGCAACGGAGCAAGAAGAAATTGCATTTGCAGCTCCCAACGACAGCTCTACCTTTTTGTGTGCATTACCATATTGACATCTCGTTAAGTTGCCTTTAAATAAGCCATCAGCGTTAGTTCTACTGCCTCTCAAGATGTCGGAAGTTGAGAAACGCCGAAGTATCATCCCCTTCCGCCTCCCCCTCCCCAACCCTCTGACGTGGCGCCCCGCCATCCCTGGCTTTGGCCGTCGGCGTAAGGACCGTGGCCAGCACTTCGCCTCTACAACCAGCGTCGTCAGCGTCGCTACTATCAACGATTCAGTGCTGGCTTCTAATGCCGTGCAGGCAGTGGCAGCGGCCCCTGCTACCGGTGCTGCAGCGCCTGTCTCCAAGGTCCCCCTGAAGCCTGTCAGTGATGTTTTCGCCGGTGCACTGGCTCGTGCTGCCTCCCAGAGCACGATCCACCCTCTAGACACCCTGAAGGTGCGTCTGCAGACCAACAGAAAAGTGGCTATTGCTGCGCCACCGCCGGGCCTGTCCAAGATCGGTCAGCTGGTCCCTCCAGCGTCCGCTGTCGCCGCCACCGCCGCCTCTTCCGGTGGTGGCCTGGCGCCTCTGACTCGCTTTGACGGACGCGCACTCATCGCTACTGTTGGCAGTCTGTACAAGGGAGTTGTCGGCGCTGCCAGCGGTGCAGGAATCGCTATTGGCGCTTACTTTGCAGTTTACGGGGTCGCCTGCAATACGCTTTCGCGCTACACCACACTGCCTCCAACAACGGTCGCCTTCGTGGGTGGCGGCGTGGCGGCCCTGGGCAGCTCTTTTGTGAAGGTGCCGCTGGCGGTATGCATCCGTAGTGTGCAGGCCGGCGTATATCCCAATGTCTTTGCTGCCGCGCGCTCGATCACTGCCGCCGCCGGTCCTCGCGGCCTGTTCACCGGCTACCTCCCAACCGTCCTGGAGGATGTGCCAGACATGGCCATCAAGTTTGCTGCATATGAAGGTATGCGGCAGGTGCATCGCGCTGTGAATCACGGTCGGCAGGCGACTGTGCAGGAGGACTTCGCTATGGGCGCTGTGGCGGGTGCGCTGGCTGCGGCAGCGACGACTCCTCTGGATGTTATCAAAACCAACATGATGTGCAACGCGGCCGTACGTCCATCGATGGGATCTGCTGCGATGGGTGTCATGCGGCAGGGTGGCCCTGCAGCGTTCTTCCGCGGCGTTGGTGCCCGTGCCGCCAGCAACGGCATCAACTCGGCCGTATTCTTTTGCTTCTTTGAGGCGCTACGTGGCGCCATCGCGAGCAGCAACGCTAACCGCGCCGCCATCGATGGCCAATATGCTAAGAGCCGCCCGGTTAAGGTCACTTCCGCTGTGCAATATGTCGGAGCTGAGGAGAGCAGCAGTGAGGGCGAGCTGGTGTTGGCTACAACGAAGAAATAGAACTGAAGACTTCGCATTTTGGTGATGATGATTTGTTTGCTGGTGATGGTCCTATTGGTGTACGAGGTCAGCCGGGGGCTGCTTGCAAGTCCTGCGCCTGGTTGCTCTTCGCGCGGCCTTGCTTAGTGGAAAACAGGCAGAGCTGCTCTGAACTCTCCTGGCATGTGCATGTGCTTAGTCGCTTTAATATTTGCGACTTCAGATCCCATTGGCCGCCAGGAGAGTACACCCTCGTGCTTGGCCTCAACTAACTTTTTCCTGACGTTTTGCGGCTTTCTTTCTTATTTCTATGTCGCTATCGCGTCTGAAACGATCGTGCGCGTGAGTCTGCCTTGTTCCGAAGAGTTCAGTTCAGTTGTTGTTGCGTTGTTTAATGTCGTAAGGCCGCTGTCAGTGGTGCGGCGATGCGTTATGGCAAATAGATTTTGGTGATGGATGTGGTATTGAACCTTAAGTTGCTTGTAGGGTTGTACGGCTCTGTAGATCAGACATGACGGGATGATGATTGAGTCATGCCTGTTTGGAAGAATACCAAGGCGCAAGAGTCCAGTGCCTTCTGTATCATGGCTCTGGCTAGTTCCCAATGAGTCAACGTTGCCTCCGCTGGAGAGTAAGAACTTATGGTTCACCTACTGTTATTGGGGACCATAGTAGTCTTTAACTTTCCTAGGGAGTGTGAAAGAGGCGAAATTGTATGGAATTATGACCATAGCTGATGTACTTCTCCGAGGGAGAAAGGTGGTGGTGATATGATGCAGATGAGAAGGATATTTAGCGTACTTGCGCCCGCGTATGTCAACATGCTGACGGGATGATGGCCAACAATTCGTCCATGTATGCTGTGTGTCTAGGCGAGGAAAGGGCAGACGGGTAAATTACAGTCAATGGAAAGGTTGTCGGGCTTAAGGTTCTCAGGAAGGGTCAAGGTCATCGCCCACGTATCCAACATTATTGTTGGTTTTGTATTGGATCGTATGTTGAAGAGATTGTGGAATAACGACTTGTTGCTGCGTTTGTTACCACCACCAGCTGGTCCTGTACATCTTACTCAATGTTACTACCTAGAACTATGTACAGTTAGTTGACTTGTCTGCAGATGTAATGTAACCATCATACTGATAGAATGATGTATATGTGTAAATATGATTTCCTCTACTACCTAAAGAAATTCGGGGGACGACCTTGCTAGGTTCCCTGCTGTCAGTCAATCAGTCCGTCATGGTGTAACATTTCCTCTTATGTCACCCCGTTCAAAATAGCATCTGAAAGCTATCTAAATCTCTATCGATGGGCTAAGTTAGCTTCGGAATCTCAGGATTCCTAATATGTTAACTTGTAATTCTCTACCGTTTGACCAAGGGAATGTAATCAAAATCTCTGTGGGCTAAGATGGTTTACCAGGGTGAGATCAATTTACATATCTCACTCCGTTAAAGACTGTATGTAAAAGCTACATCGATTCTTTATCGATTGGCCAAAGAAGAACAATCGGATACATCGGAGCGCGAAGATAGCTTCCATGGCTTCGAGTTTGACTTCCCCTCACGCCGCAGTCCTTGCCTCTGAAGTCGTTGCTTGTCCCTTACATTATAGATCCGTAAGCAAACGGCATGATCCTTTATGGGTTCGTTCCTTCATGCTCGGCAACTTTAGACCGACCCATAGCAACGCTCTAAGCACCTCCCTCCTGGCGTCTCGCTCGTGCCTGTTTGATTGCTGTCCTTCTTATTCTCTTCTTCATTCATTCAATCCAAGTTCAAACGAAGTGTGCCTTTGCGACACACCATCAGCTTTGCCGCTGCATTCCGACGAGCAATTAGAACGATCCCCGAATGCGTTCTGGCTGGGAGCGGACAACAATTGGTCCATCAAGCACGGGCACTTTGGCGCGCCTTGAACTGCCAGCCAGCAGGCCGAAGGGCCGGGGTAGAACATGGATGCAACGGTAGTACCACCTACGTATCGGGCAGTCCCGACTCATGGATTTGGTGCAGCAGTGGCAACACACGTTGTCGCAATGACACTCCTGCTTTGTGTGTATGTCATTCTACGGATTGCCGCATCACGAGAAGGCTAATTGTTCAGTCAATAATGCTTATGCTATGGGGCTGCGCGGTTGCGACGATCCAGACAGGTCTACGCCGCCGTAGCAAGTCTGCCGACCTTTACTGTTTGAGAATTTCAATAACAAGTGTGTACTCCAAACTGGCGGCGTTCTTGTGCTTGCACTCCTATGCCGTACGGACTGCCCTGCGAATCAAACGGTGGTCAAGTGGCTGCACCGGGGCGGACTTACTCTCTTTGCCCATCATAATAAGCACAGTTGGTAATTGGTGGTTCTATCAAATGTCAATGCGGTTTGCTTATTACACATTCCATCTGGTGGGAAGAAAAGCCACTCCCTTTTCTCCCCTCTCCACATCCATATACCAACTCCCCGCGTCATCATCACACTTCACCTCCCCTCGTCCCCTGCGGCCCCCAACCGAGCTACTTTCCGCTTCTCCACGGTGCGTGTCTCCGGACACATCATCGTCACCCAGCCCGTGGGAACCAGGGGAACACCTGCGAGGTGGGGATGTGGGAGTTATGGGTGGGTTTACAGGGATGGCGATGTAACGGACGAATGCCGTGAAAAGCGGAAACTCCGATGGGTGGCTGTGGTGGTGGTGGTGGTCTTGTTGTCGTTGGTGGTCCTAAGAGGGTCCTAAGTAAGCAGGTAACACCGACCCCCGGGGGTTGGTCACCACAGCTCTCAGCTCCGCTCTCAACGTGTCAAAGAGAATGCTCATGCTCATGCAGTTCAGCATTCCGCGTTGTTGCAAAATCAAGTTCTCTCACCGGCGTTGATCTACTGTCAAAAACATCGTTGTTACGAGAATGTAATGCATCCTTTAAACATATGTTCGACTATCGACCCTCGCTAACACCCTCCGGCCTCTCCCCCCGCTTACCCGCTGCCGCACTTCGGGCGTACACCACCCCCAGCTCGTTCTTGGCAGTACTCAGATAGTACGAGCGCGCGTCGCCTAGGCTAACCACCTGCAACCACCATACCAGCCGCCGTACGTCACACCGCGAGCCACAATCATACAAGTCATGTTCGCTGTTAACATCGCAGCACCAGCACCAGCACCACCATTCAGCTCTTCCACCAAAAACCTTCCTCCGATTATCAAAACGCCTTTTTGTCCGATTCTCTACGTGTTCCGGTTCTCTACGTGCCTATTCACTTTGCAAGCTGGAGTACAACCTTTTAGCCCACCCACCACCCCTATCCCTCACCCACCCACCACCCCTACGGCTGATGAGCCCCCCTGAGCCCCCTCGCCCCTCCCCCGCCTTCCCTGAATTGCTGTTGTGCATCTTTCCCCCTCCCCACAGTCACCCCCCTCAGGGGAGTTCGTACCCCCGTCCGTACCTCGGCACGTACGATGTCCCCAGGTCGGAAGCAGTCGTACATTACCACACGGTCAATCTCGGTGGCTCGCACGTCTTGTTGCCTGGAGTCAGTTGGGGCGGTTTGGGGAACGGACAGCGGATGATGCGATTGGTTGGCGGTTATGAGTGACTAACGGGGCGATAAACGGTCAGAGGAAGAGGAAGAGAAGAAGAAACCGGTTGGGTTAGGAGCACTGAGCGCAGCACATTTCAGGATTTGAAATGGGGGTTTAAGACAAACCACTGACGACTGACGCAAAAACAAGAGATAGAGAAGGATAGTCCACGATTAGACAGATACCTGCATCAGGAACAGTTGTAATTCAACGATCAGTAGTGACTTGGTTTGTAGTCATTACGGTGACGTGGCCAGCTAGATTGCGAAACGAGTACCGGAGTATCTAGCCGCCAGGGGGCTTCCGCCGCTTCTCTCGCCTCCGATTCCCTCCTCCTCTCCGCCCCACCCGGCCGCACCTTATGACTCCTTTGAATTCCGTACTCAGCGCTTGTCTCCCCACGCACAACACGAGGGCCATCGCCGCGGTCTGGGCCACCCGACTTATCTGCACCGGAATGTGAACGACATGAAGCAGCAGCAGCAGCAGCAGCAGTAGTAGCAGCAACAACACTATCCGCAACAGGACCTACAAAGTAACACAATCATAATTGATAACAACAGCCCTGTCAATGTTACTCACCACCATCATTATCAACATCAGCTACTACAGCAGCATACACGAAAAAACAGCTTCCGTACGGACCGGCCGTGCGGAACGCCGTACGTGAGGCCTCATCCAGGAGCCTGATACGAACACAACCATATTATAGTGATAGATACGGTGTCCAACCCCCCTTCCCCCCTTTTCCACCCAGCTCCCCCAACACACATACCTCTCTCACCTCACCTTGACGGTCACCAGATCGCCAGGTTTGGGGACCAGAGGCTGAATGCCCCGGGGGACAACCCCCAGCACAGGCTTCTGTGGAGATGTATGTATGTATGTATGTGGGTCGGGTGGGGGGGAGGTAAATGCAATATGTTTGGGGGGGAAAAGGGGATGGAGATGTACAATCAGGCAGGCGGGATACCCTGATTACATACTGAGCAGATGAATTGGGCAACGGATGGATGCCGTCATAAACCGCCGCACTTGCCGTACTGCCGTACTTCTGTCCCTTTTCCCTATCGCAGTGAGTATCCTCTATATGCTTCTTTGTAATACTGGCGACCAGCGGGTCGTGGCAATTCAACGGGATAATGAAAAGGCGGGGAAGGTTCCAGAAGAGCTGCCTAACCCTTTCTGTGGCTGCGTGTGAGTGACTCTTTCCAGAGGGCCACAAGACGGCTATCTTCAGTGCGCGGCCTAGTCCCATTCCCCTTGAACCCCCGAACACAACAACACACACGTCGCCCCGACGGCTCTCACACCTTCCCTCCCTCCCTCCCCCTCGGGGCCCTCCCTTCCTAATCACGCACACCCAGGGCTTTTGTGTTTCACCCACCGCTCCTCTACCCGCAGGTTGCTCGATATGCTGTAGCCCGACAATACCAGCGAATAGGAAGCCATCCCGCACGTACACACCCTCACCAGCCTCGTACAAATCCTGCATACACAAAAATACGAAATGCATCTGGTTGTGCACACATACGCACACGCTCGCTCGATTCGTGATGGTTACTCAGTTATATGCAAGAAGGCACGCACATCCTCACGAAGAAGTCTTTAGTTCGCCAGTGCTATATCTCTGCCCGCTCGAGTTTTAACAAGTTACAGTATATGTACGAAGAAAATGGGTGGCGGGATTGCGCGTATGGATTTGGCCGTGTAAGGACGTCAGCATGTTGAAACTGGCCAAATGGACACGACAAGCAGTAGCTTCGTGTTCGGCGGGAATATCGCAGCCTTAAATGCTGAGGGATCGGCAAGATAAGAAAAGGGATTACGACGTTGATCCTTTGCTAAAATTGGTGCAAACGAAGAGGTGCAGTTGTATATGGGGGGGGGTGGAGCCTCGTGGTGAGTGTGACTGGCTGCAAATAGCTCCCCCTTTCCTATCAAACACCAACAAATGAGGGGTTTATGCATTGATTGCCCAAGGGGGTCACCCACAGTTGTTCCGAGCCGGTCTCCTGCACACACAGGCGTCTCCCTGCTTCCGGCAGCCGCCATTTCCGGCAGGGGCCCCTCCTAGTGAGCCCGGCAGGGATTAAATAAGATGAATTATTGGCGTATATTTAACGTTCTACACGTCTTTCCTATATCAAATAGAAACAGCTTGCAAAAGTCACAACATTAAGGAACACAGCTAAGGGCAACGTGGTAAATATGAACGTCCTTAATAAAGGATAGGCACAATCAAGGTTATAATTGAAGTTGGTGTTCAAGTAGCTCTATAAAGCTGCATCGATGGCAACTCCGGTGCAATATGAGTTGACGACTTGGCCGGGTTGGTGCTACCGAGACAAGACGCGTTGGATCTTCATAAGGTGTTATGATACAATACATAGGAGGCAGAAATTAAAAAGCCGTCGCGTAAATCGCGCCCTGATTCAGATAAGGCCCCGACCACCGTCAACCGTTTTTTTACCACATTTCGCCAAAACAGGTTTTTTTGTCCTCTTCTTTATGACAACATGAATCCCACGTCTCCGCCGACCAGGCAGAGCGAAAATATTTGAGCCGGAGCACCATTCTGCTTCTCCAAAGCAATCTGTCTTTACAGCTACGATATTAGATATTGTCAACACCTCTTCTCAGTTATCAATATCAAAATTAAGTTCTACTTGGCTGTCAAGGCCGTGGTGTAGGCCTTGACAATGGGATAGTGCTTCGATTCAAAATTTCACACTTCCTATACAGCAAAGCTACGGCCTTTCGTGTTGCCATAAAATATTGGACAAGTAAGCCTGTCCTGGTGACGTTTTGACTTTTTTTGTGTTACAAGCTTCGAGCTTGTACGGTCCAAACGAGCCAAGAGGCTCATGAACCGCCGAACTGGAAACAAGAACATATAAAGGTAGTAAATTAACCTTACTGTAAAAACATATTTAATCATCAATAAATTGTAACCTGCATCTTCTGATATGATCCAAAACATGCCTGGTGAAGATTGCTCGAAAACGGTTGCCGGTTATCGGGGGCCTTATCCGAGCTTTAGGCGAAGCCAACCAAACAGGTACCCGTGTACGATCCATTTATCGACAAAAGTTGGCTAGGGAGCACCCCCAACCTCTTTGCAATTCACATAGAGGAAGCATCTATATTTGTGAAGTGCTGGGTCCCTAGCTCACAAACGCATCCCGGAAGGTTCTGAGAAATCTATCAGCGTACATAATCCACTTAGTGGGCCGTTTCCATGAAGTTGCGGAGAGCAGCCAGATTACTGCTCGACCTTGACGACCCTTTGGAGGTCGATAGTGACGATAGCGAATGCAGCCGTTATGATTACCTATCAGATGTCCTAGAGGAGAATGAGGAATTCGATAAAGGGAACGAAGCCGAGCAGTTGGAGGCGGACGATGGGGACGACAACATCGCCGCGAACACTGACGAGGTCACTAAACCTGAAGAAGGTGCGCCGCGATGCAGGGCGCAGGGCGTAAATGAGCAATTTTATTTGCCAAACCAAGCTTGGGGGCTAAGCTGCAGCGACCTAAACCCTTGTCCGGGGGCGATTCTGGTGCAGGTGCAGCCGAGGCAACCAGCACCGGGACGCAATACACCGTCGATATCTTACTGAATCGACACACGTCGGTGAGTGCAAACGTATGGCTGTAAACCTATCTGGGTGCTCTCCACCTGGGTCGGCCATCTGGTCACGCCGCACGGTCCGTCAACGGCCGGCCATCACATAAAACCAGCCGATCGTAGTATAATCCTGGTCGGTTACCTTTTCCACTGTTTCTGGAGTTCCTCTGTCAGTTGCCATAATTGTCTGCACTCCTCGCGGTGCATCCCCATCGTTGGCGCGGGCACAACCAGGGTGAGCTGGCGCAGCACAGCGACGAGGAAGAGCCAAAGAGAGATGCTACTGTTGCTGCTACGGCTGGATGTGGCGGCGACGAGGAGGAGGAGCCGGACATGGAGGAGGAGGAGGAGGAGGAAGTTGTTGCAGCCTTTAACCCGTTCGCGCTCCTGGACAGTGAAGTCAGTTGCAGCACCAGCAGCAGCGAGGACGGGGAATACGATCAGGACGCGGAGGAGGAGGGGAGGGTGGAGGAGGAGGAAACAAGCAAAGCTGCTACAGTTGACGCCTCCAGGCGCATGGCCGCCTTTGCCTCATCCTCGTCACGGAGCAGCGACGCATCACGGTATGGATCCAGTGTACTGAAGAGGGACAAGGAGGCGGTGGCGGCGGCGGCGGCGGCACACAAAGACGAAAATGAGGGACCCGTTGCCGGAGACGCACAGCGGCAGCAGCAACAACCATCGCGCCGGCGCCGAAAGCAGAGGAGGAATCCTCAGCGGCGGCAGCGTGGCGCCGCTGCTGCAGCTGCCGCCGTCGTCGCCACCGGCGACTTCGCTGCTGCCCCCACCTCAGTGCACATTGAAGAGGGGATTCGGGGGGGAGTCGAGGAGGGGTGTGAAGATGGAGAGTGCCACGTAGGCGGGCCTACTGAAGATGCCGTACGGGGCCCCCCAGCATCTACTTCTCACAGCACCCGCCGCTGTGGCGATGATGCTGTCCCGGCCACCGGAGTGGTGGCGGAGTGCTGGCTGTGCTACGGCCAGGGCCGAGTGGCGGAGAGTGAGGCGGGGTTTGAGGGGGGGAGGAGATGTAGTGACATGTGTCAGGGGGGGGAAGGGGATGAGGAGGGGGGCGGAGGCAGTGCTGAGGAAGAGCTGGTGGCGCCCTGCCGTACGTGTGCGGGCGGGATGCAGTACATCCACCGGAGCTGTTTTCGGAGGTGGATGGACAGCAGTTGGGCGTTGGCATGCCCGAATTGCCGGACATTGTACGACAGGTGAGAGGGGTGTGCGGGGGGGGGGTATGTTGGAATGTGACCGACACTCACGTATGTAATACCAGTGTGAATGGTGACCGGAGTAATGGGACCCGTGGGGAGGGGTCCGTGGCTCTTTTTGCTGATTCTAACAGGTTCGGTGCACCGTGGGGTTTCAATGTGTTTCGCGGACACGGCGGCTCCCGCGTGCCTGCTGCGTGTGCTAGCAGTGTGGGTGGGTGGGTGGGTGGGTGGGGTCCGAACAGCAGAGAGCTTTGAACCTGTCCTTCTATTCCCCCTGCTAATTAACCCACGGCCTTCCCCCCACGAGTCCCGAGACCTCCGAGGGATGTCGGTAGAGCTACTCCTTCTTGACTTTTGCACGTAAACATTGGACCTTCCTCAAACCCAACACCTCCATTTTCAGATTCTTAACCCTTCCCCCTCCCTCCCCCGGGGCCACCGGGTACCACGTAATGGTGGTGATACTCGTACACGTGATGATGACACGACGGGGTACGACACAGATCCCTGCTGGACTCTTTCATGAGCAGCAACGGGGGTGCTGGTGGTGGTGTGGGTTGCGCCTCCATTCGCTCCATGTTGGTGTCCGCCTGCCCCCCCACACACGATATCGAACAGCCCTTCCCGCCGGAGGCCATGGTGTTCATCCGCCTGCGCGTCGGTTTGGAGATGTCCGTGGGGTGTGGCGGCATGACGATAGGAGGTGCGTACAGCGTGGTGGTGTCTGTATGTATGTGCGGGGGGGCCGATAAATGGTGCAGGGGAGTCCCGGCGGGGCTGGAAGCTGGGTTTTGGTGTCGTACGAAGCCGTATCGGGTAATGTGCGCCCTCCATGGCCCGGGTAGGGGCAGAGCGCCTAGGAACGGAATGAGGGCATGGGGGCCGGGTGGGACGAGATGCTCCGGGGACGAAGCACCTGGGGGTCACGGGAGCTGATGACCCAGATGCAAAAAAGGCTGTAACACGTTGAGTATCCGTAAATCCGGCGTCAATGCGGTGGTGAGGGGCCCCGGGCGCGGAGGGAGGTGTCCATGACATTTTAGCCGGCGGCTCAGGTCCCCGGGGTTGAGTGGGGGAAGTCCAGTGGGTGTGGGAAAGAGGCTGGGGCGGGGTTGGAGGAATGGGATGGGTGGGGAGAGCGTCCTCTTGGGGTTGCATCGCATGCGGTGTGATGACATGACGTGACATGACATGCAGGGTTTCGGAGGGGTTTTTTATCTGGGTTTGGTAAATTGAAGGACTGCGGGGAAACGTACGTGTGTGGTGGGAGGAGGGGGGAAAGGCTTACTGGGACTAACCCTCTAAGGGGGCTGCAGCACCCCATTCCCGATGGCGTACAACATTGTTCTGTATCATGTCCTATCCGTTGTGTTGTTTGTGTTGTGTTGTACGGCACACTGTGTTTTGCATCCCCTGGTCCCCCGCCTGATGTCCACGGTCATACTCACGGCGACAGAGTGACAGACTGATCGACGACCTCTTTCTTACCCCCTCTGATACGATGTATGCGCATCGCAACGTACTTCGCCATGCTGTGTACTGCAAAACCCAAACAGAGCTGCTGATGCGGATTCGTTCGATGATGGAGGAGATGGCCGCTATCTACGGAGACAGCGGTCTGGGTTTAGCGGGGTGGGGCGGCAGCGGGAACGCGTTGTCAAGCTTCAACGTGACGAACGTGACCTTCGATTTCAGTCCGAATTGGGGTTTTGATTATGGATTACAATCCGAGAGCGGCAACATTGATTGGCAAGGGCGCGGGGCTCATCCTCGGCCAGATATGTATCTGAATTCTGAAGGGTTGGAGATTTGGCAGGAGGATGAAGATCTGGAAGCCCAGGTACGGCGCCTCATGAGCAATAGAAAGGTGTCTAGCAATAAAAAAACGGCTCCAGCAACGCAAGCTGGTTCTGGAAGTTGGGACTTGGTCTGTGTGATACCCTGATGTGATGTGGTGTGATGTGGTATGTCGACCGCAAATGCCATTGCAGACCCGTGCTCGTCACCTTTCCCTTCCCCACACCTCATTTCCTAGCTTGCCATTCCAAAGCCAGCTGCTACTGCTACTGCTGCCGCCGCCGCCGCCGCCGCCTTCTTCCCACGTTACGCTCGGGCTGCATCCATAGGGTTCGTACCTGCCACATGGGGATCGGCGGGTTTCCTTTTCGTTCACCTCTCTCCCCCTCCCCCCCCCCGGACACATCCCCCCCGGTTCTTAACGTACCGCTGTCCGCCGCGCACCCGCTTAGGAGCCCCGCGAGCGCACCTCTTCGGACAACCCCCGCGGAGCCGGCCCCACCGGCCACAACAACGCCCGCTATCGTACTGCGCCGTCAGAGTGGTACGACGATAGCGACGCGGAGTACAGCAGCGAAGATGATGAAATGGACGCACCAGGCGAGTGGGTTCGCTTGCTGGACCACGTGAGCGAGTCTGAGGCCGTGGGGCGAATCGACCTCGGCGCGATGTTGCCCCACAACTCCACCGGCTCAGCTGGCTGGCATAGAGGCCTTTATGCCTCTGGTATGCCGGGCTTGCCGCCGCATCCGTTTTTTGACTTGGGTTTGCATTACGTCGGCGAGCTACGTGCGGCTGCGGCGGCTGATCGTGCTGCGACTCGCGCGGAGCAACAGCGACGGCGGGCGGAGCTGCAGCAGCAGCAGCGCAATGCGCAGCGAGGAGGCGGTAGTCGAGCTGGGCACCGAGGCCGGGGGGGACAGCGCGGTGGTGGCGGCGGCAGCGGCCGCCGCCGCTGACGCAGTGATGGTGGCGGCGGCAGCGGCCGCTGCCGCAGTCTGTCGCGCCCATGTGTGCTGTGGTGTGTGTTTTGGCGGCGTGGCGGGTTTGAGCGGCAGGAAAGGATCCTTTGGGCGTTGATCCCGGCAGTCCGGCTGTACTGTAGACCGAGCTGGAGCCCCTTTTTTTCGGCCCCCCTCCCCGAAATGGTGAGGTTTCTTCATTTTGACGTCTTATGTCGATGTACATCTTTCAGACCCGGGTGATGTTTCGTTCTGGCATATACCTCTCCTGGTTTACTCAAATGAGTGGTTTGGTGCATTGGGTCATGTTTGAGTTCTTTGTGACTTCCCAGTACTTTCATTTGCGGTAGTACGATCTGGATTGGCGGCTCCAGGGGAGACCCCGTGTGGCGAATCTGTAGTCAGGTGGCAGTGTAAATTATTGTATGGCGGTATGGCGGCAAGTGTGGGTTGTAAAAGTTTTGTTTTTCTTTCGTTGCTATATTTCTGATCCGTCTGTTCGCTGCTATCGGGAATGGAGGACTGCCCCTAGCGGAGGCGGCATAACTAATAACCCTGGTTAAGAAAATGGGAGGTCGGTGGAGCAGCGGAAGCGGAACTGTGTTGTAGCTGGTGGGGGTCTGTTCTTGATCTCTGCTGCATGTGCACAGCAACCTTGTAGAGAAACGTAAACTACGTTGCACGAAGGGCGTGAAGTGCTGTGCTCTTTCGACCGGGTTTGCTTATGTGTGTGGCTCCTGTTTACCCGTTGGCCGACATTGCGCCCTTGTAGTTTCCAAACCGGGGGTCTGATCAGGACCCTTTTCAACTTCCCACATACGACCCCCAGATCAGACTCTGTTGGATGATAATGAGTTAGAATGTGGTATATGGTTGCACGTGTCGTCGGTTCACCGGATCAGAACGAACTGCTATGCACTGCCTTGCGGCAGGAGGCCATGCACAACACTCTCCGTTATCCACACGGCGGCCTCTACTCCCTTCCGAGCAGTCAGTCAAAGAGGAGCTTGCCCCAGACGGGCATCGCGGAGGTTGTCTTGCGTCTCTCAGTATCACGATGTGTGGCGATCATCCACTTCTCGCGCCATAATCATATTCCCTTAAGGTTTAACGTAGCAAAGATACACACTAGCACGTCTGTCTCTCCTCTATCCTCCCGAAGGAAGGAGGGGCTCAAGGGGCTGAAACGGTAAAACGGGAGGCCTCATTCCAACCAAAGGCAATCAAATGCACGGTGTACGATGGGAGAAGCGCATGGGAGGATTGAGAGGGGGAATCGGAGGTCATGATTGTGAAGACCAGGCCAGAAAGCCGCACATGTCCAGCACATGATGTCAGCAGTGTACATGTCAAGCCAGGCCACACACACGTTCAATACACTGCACAGAGGTCGTGCCATGGCTTGCCGCCCAAATTGATGACACACGTTGAGTAGTTGCATTTGGCAACATTCACATCCGGATCGCAGACCCTGGAGGCAGCCCAATCATACCTGCCCGCAGGACATGCCAGTGAGGGCACTTGAGCATGCACCTCTAAAATAGCAGCCCTCAAGCACATCAGGCCAGGGGGTGGATGAGTCACAGGGAAATCAGTCAGGGAGCTCTTGCGACGACGGGTACATGCACTCTGTGCTGCTGTAGCACACGGGGCTCGCCTCATATCGTGCACTTCTCTTTTGGCGCCCGCCGGCCCCTCACCCATTCACAAGATCCAGTAAGACACTAAAGCACCGTCAGGACGACGCACGCCCCGTAACCCACCCCAACACGTGAATTCCAGTGTTTAGAATGCAGTTTGCCCCCCCGCTTGACAAGGTCGCAAGGGCACGCTGGCTGGCTCCACGTGTGAGCGGTGACCTCCTCGCCGCCATGATCACCGGGTTAGATCCATCATCACAACGTTGGATGAAACATAAAAGATTGCGACCCCCTTTTTTGCGACTTCGTGTTCACAACAGCAAAGGCAACACAATAAGTATACACACGTCGGTAAACAAGGCCGAGAGATCGGGTGGAGAGGCAGAGAGACGTTAAGACGCAACAATCTCACGGGCGCCCGTAAACCGATGCGCTTGTTCCCCCCCCACACACATACAGATACATACATACATACATACATACACACACACGACACGCAAATTGTTGATCACTGGAATCCCAGACGATGCCGTGTCGAGCTCGGCTGAAAGGGCGACCTGCTGAAGTGCCAGCTGGTGTAAAATACCGCCCAGGCCCCCCAACCTATGTCCTCTTATTCAAGTTAGCTTCAATATCAGAACACCTCCGGTTCAGCTGGTGTAGTATTGTTACGTCGCGCGCGATTGATACGATAGCAGAATACATAATAAAGCTGGGTTCAAGTTTCGTGCCTCGTAAAACAGTAACGCATGCCAACGGCCAACGGTTAACCGAACGGACGCTCCAAACCGTGCCGCAAACCAAATGCGCCATTATTCTTCCCCCGAAAAGAAGGCAATAACAGAAACTACCCCCTCGCGCCAGTCCCCAAGTGTCCAAGCGCGCACGCGTCGCAGTGTTCCGCGCAGTCGCCTCTGCCAGCACACGCAAGCGCGCGCAGGTTTCATCAGCATTCAGGGCACATGGCCGTCAACCTTTACACACCCAGAAATTACACACCCCGTCCGGGGGAACCCCACACCACCACCACCATCACTCACTCGAGGCCGGCGTCCTCCACGCCATCACGGTCCTCGTCCTCATGTCCCTGCGCGCCCTCGCACTTCACTATTCTTGCCGGTATCCGCCGCTGCTGAAGCCGCCGTCGCTGGTCCCGTAATCGCCGCTCTTGGGCGACGGCCCCGGCACCCGGGTGCTCTGGCGCCCCGGCTGCATCGACAGACGGTACTGGCTGCTGACGTAGCTCTCACGCGGCGGCCCCAGGTCCCCTCCTATGCTGCGCGATATGCTCTTGCTAGCCACCAGCCCCCCCGGACCCTCCTGGCTAGTACTCTTTGTCATGGGGCCACCACCGCCGTGCGCCAGGCCAGGACCGCTCTCGTAGTCGTCGCCCTCGGGAATCCCGGGCGGGTAGTCGCCCTGGGAGCCGCCGTAGACAGGGTTGGGGGCCATGGGCCGTTCGCCTGCCGGAGTGCTTTCAGGAACGTTCTGGAAGCCGATCATCTGGCGCGGCGGCCCCAAGCACATCATCACCATGCCGCAGATGAGCGCCACCACCACGGGGACTGTGCGGACGATGGCCGCGTCGAACTGGGACGTGCCGTCTTGCTTGCCGGACGGGAAGATACACATGCAGACGGGGTTTGTGAAAAGGATGATGAGCACGAAGGCCGCGGTAGACAGTACGGCATGTACGAAATCACGGCCCTTGGCATAGTAGTATTCGTACACGCGGTCCTTGTCTTCCTCAGTGGGCAGGGAGAAGCACAGTGGTCCGTAGACTGGCATGATGAGAACCCAAAACTTCTGACCGTCGAAAGCGGTGTAGGTGTCGGTGAACGAGACGAAGAAGCAGACCACGGAGAATAACACCAGCATGGCGATCACCAGCGCACGTTCCTGGTCATGGCAGTATGACGAGTCATTGATGACCAAGTTCGCCAGAATCTGGAACACCGTGAGCGTGTGCGTCGGAAAGTAGTACGAGACTCTTGTGATGGCGTCCATGGCATCCGTAGCTAGTTGTTGTCAGCAGTAAGGAAGAGAAAGCGAGAGCGAGAGAGCTCTTAGGGAGATTGGAGGCGTTGCCAGGTAAGGCTTCCCCTTCCCGAGCAACCCAGGAGGCCGCGTCCAGCGACGTAACAGGACCTGACGCGGGCCCTGGGGGTCCGCGGGGTTCTACCCGTGCACTGCCGCTTTCCGCTAACCAGGGTAGTGGCAAATTATCCCTGCAAGCCCCCTGCAAGTTCAAGTGAAAGAGTGGTTGAAGTGGGTGAGGGGGCCCTGTAGAGTACGTGTTATTTGTGTAGTGGGGCCAGGCAGGGCAGGCGGCTGAGGGATGTGTGGAAAGAACCCCGGAGCTGGCTGGGGCGGGGAGCAAAGAAAAAAGCGACGATCCAGTGACGCATACTGTGGTGAATCAAAGCCATTCCCGTTGCTGTTCCAGTTGAGTTATTATGCCTCCTTCTGGCCGAAAACACCCAACCAGGTCAGGCCAGCGTGTGAGACCGAACACATGCATAAGCTGCAGTGGCTAGTAACGAAAAACGTTCGGGTCATGCTGTTTGCTAAACAATGAAATGCTAAAATAATTTAAGTCGCAAGAGAGCCGTGGCGACTAACGTTGCAAGTGGGTCGCTGTAACGAACCGGTCGTCCCACGCCCCACGCTGGCTTTTCGCATAATACATGAGAGGATAAAGGTGATACTGTGTTATACAATAGGTTCACCGAAATACGGTTAGGACACAAATTCAGGGCCTGGCTGTCGGGTTGTGAAAGCCGGTCAAGGAAACTGTCCCGTAACGGAATAGGAGCACTGATAGCCCATGCGCCAATATATTTTCAATAAGATATAGTACTTGCCTGAGCTTGTCTAACAGGCACCGGAGAAGTCCCCTCGAAAATGCTAGGCCGCCGGGTCCTCAACGCCAGCACCGGAAACTACAGCAAAAATCAACGTGGACTTCCTCTCTATACCTATGTTGCTTCTGCCATCATGCTAAGTCACGCAATTTGCATTACGAAATAGCAAGCACTTGGCTATCTATCTTGGTGGTTGACTGCAAGCCGTATGTTTGGAGGAAAATGCATAAGATGGATTCTTGAATATATCGCTTGTGACATGAACGTGGGCTTAGGTAAGAGGGAAACCCGCTGCAAAATTGCAACGACGTGACCCCAAAGCCGTACACGTAGTGAACAGGCCAAGCATGAGGGCTCAATATCTTATCTTGTCTGCTCATATAGTTATATTACATTGAGCCCTTGCTCTTAGCAACACGCCCGTGGCAAGGTGACGCTCTAGGGAACTTGCTTTTTTCCTTATGTCGGTGAGCGTTGCGCCTCGCCCCTTCGGTGAGGTGCGTCATGGAAACTAGGCGCTCCTCCAAGCGGAAGGAACGCGAAGAAACTCCTCCAAGCGGCACTCAGCAGACCTCCCGAAAAACTCAGCGTATTTCCAAGCCTAGTCCAGCCGCCCCAAGTCACGAGGCTACCGAACTTGCCACTGCGGGAAACACCCAGCAGGCAACACCAGTGCGTGAGGTAGAGCGTGCAAATTCTCCAAGCGGCGGCCCGGCAACTCGTCTCCGCTCAAGGCGGGCAGCTGCTACCGCGTCTCAGCCTCCCGCACCAACTGCCGGTAGATCTAAGCGTACTAGGGTGAAAGCTCGCGATCATTCTGCGGAACCGGAGGAGCGACAACAGCCAAAGGAGGAGAACGCGGTCGCAGCACCTCAAGCCGCACCACCAGCTACACAACCTGCACCAGCACCAACGACAGCACCAGCGGCTGAAGCAGAGAAGTCGAGTCCAGGAGCACGCCGGGTAACATCGTCACAGCTGTGCGAGATGGCCAATCGGCAGGGTCGCGGTCAGGGCATGGACGACGAGAAGGTGTGCCTCGGAAGCATTTTATCATCTTCACTATGCCGAGGAATAACATGTGAGCGCTGCCTCTTCTGCAGGATTTAGCGGAGGTGTTTGGTCGGAACTTTTCGGGCGCGGGCAGGTACGCGGTTCTCGGCCTGTCACGCAACAAATCGCGCGACGAGTTGCGACGCTATGTTTTGTCGCCCCGTCTTCACCCTCGGACTGGCTCCCCCTCTGCCTTGTCCCTTCAGCGCGCTTCAAGGCTTGCTCCGCAAGCTGGGAGCTGGATTTGACGACATGATGCCCATGGGAGGTGTATCGGGCAGCAGGATGAAGGTGAGGGCGCAGGTGGGCGTTTATTTGCCCACCCGCTAGGATACACCCACGGGCGTGCTGCTAGGTTAATTCGTTCATCGACACGACAGCGCGTTTCCGTCATGTCGCGCACACGGAGGCCCGCTGGCGTGACTCTGTTGGAGGCCCGTTGGTGTGACTCTGGTGTGACCATGTGTCCTACAACACCACCTGCAGCAGGACTTTCGTGGCCGCAGGACGTCTCAGTGGCCTTATGGAGCACCGGGCGTGCAGCCACCCTCTCCACTAAACCCCTCCCCCACACAGACGTTACCTCCCCCTCCGCTCTGACCCACATCATATCAGGCCTTCAATCCTCTTCTCTGCTCTCCGGAGATCTTATTGTTTCCTGTCGCGTAATCGCACACTTGGCAAAGTATCACGCCGATAGCAGCCGCTCCCCACCAGCAGCGCGACCCTTAGCCTTCCCTCCCACCTCGCACCCCGATGTAGCCTTCCCTTCCACCTCTCCTTCCCCCATTACCCACCTCTCGTCCTTCCTCCACGACCCACATTATCCAAACACCTCCTTTGTTCCTCGCAGGCCATCATGCAGGGCCTGCGGCAGGTGGATGATGAGGGCGCGCAGCTGTCATCGCTGGCGGAGCTGAATGAGCTGCTGTCCATCTCGACGGAGGATAACCTGGCGGCCTTTCCGACGGAGAGCATGGTGCCACTGCTGGTAAGACCGGATCGCAGACTGGAGCTTGTCGGGGCGGGGGGGAGGGGAGGGGGTAAAGACGAACCACGTGAACGAGTGAAAAGCTGCTGCCAAGGAAAGAATGTACAAGAAGCAGAACTGACCAGTAGGCGTTTCTTGAAGGCGGCGACCTCGGGAATGGGAGGAAGAAAGGGGGGAACCTTCCGCACTCGGGGGAGCTTACTGGAGGGAGCCCAACAAGGATGGGCTGTCAGGAGCTCCGAGGGATGGATTGCAGTGCGCTCGAAACGAATTCGGGTGGGGCGTATGAGCAACGGAGTGAGCGCGTGTGTGGAAAGCGGGTCCGGGCCGTGAAGGCCGGAGGTCTGTTGTACATCAAGATCGTGTCCGCAACGGGTTTTTTCCCTCGTTTTTCCTGCGGGTCTGACCCTGTTTACGGAGGCACATAAGGCCCTTTGCAGCGGGCGTCTCCGGCCTGCGCGCAATGAAAATCTAGGGTCTTGTACCTGACGGTGCGGACCGTCGCAATCATCAGCTATGCTTGGTGAGGAGGGCTACGCAATCGTTACTTCCCGGTCCCGCAGCAGTCAAGCACAAACAGCTAATATGTATGTTCGATCGTTTGGGCCTCTCCGGCCCACGTATGATCGTCCACTCGCGTGAAAAGACTTAACTTACTCAACTGGGCTGCAGTGGCCGTCAAATATGGATCAATGCCAGGCGCGCTTTTCCTATTTCCTAGCCCCGCGTCTTATCCGCTTTTGAATTTCATCTGGGTCTCAGACTTGATTCGGGTTTGTGTTGCCGTGCTGTGTTGTGTTGCTGTCATCACCCAGCTGGCACATTTTGTCTTCCAGCTCCGGCGTTACTGGCACTCCTTCCCCCTTCCCCCTTGGTCAGGAAGTATTCCTGATGCAGCCTTTGTCTTCTCCTGGACTATCCGTCTATCTATCTCTGATCTCTGCTACAATCGCCTGGGGTTCGTCTTACCCAATCTCCCCCCAAAACACAGATTCAGCTGTTGAATGCGGAGCATAATCCGGACATCATGCTGATGGCGGCCCGCGCGCTGACGTTTCTGGCGGACGTTCTGCCGCAGTCGTGCGGCGCAATAGTGCGACACGGTGCCGTTCCCGCGTTTTGTGCCCGGCTGCTTGCCATTGAGTACATCGACCTTGCTGAGCAATCTTTGCAGGTACGGCCTTCCACTCTACTACATAGAATTTGCGCGGCTCTCGTTGCTGGCGGCAAGGGAGGGTCATTGAACTTGTGTAACTGGGGGCCGGCTTGGGAATGAGCTCATGCGTCGTCGCTTGCCTGCAGGATATGGGTGGGCATTCCAAAGGGGGTCGTAGGGGAGTTGGGAGGGCACCTGGGCATTGGCTAGGAACGCACGGGGGGGGGGAACATGCGGAAGCGCTTGCGTTTCGTAACTTGCTGACACCTGCTGTAACTGCATTGCATCGGCATGGTGTCATCTCTTCAGGAACGTGCCTCGTCGTCTGGGGGGGCTCGAATGGAACGCACAGTCCGTTTCTGTGTTACGATTTTGCAACCTTCCCAGGCTTATCCCCTCCCGCCCGCCTCTCTGCATCTCAGGCCCTGGAGAAGTTGTCGCATGAGCATGCGTCTGCCCTCCTGCAAAATGGGGGCCTCTTGGCGGTGAGTCGGTTGATGTTGGCTGCCGATGCTGCTCTTGCTGCCGCGTCGAAGAGTTTCTGCAGCCCAACCCAGCACGAGTGTATAAGAGTTTGGGATCAGCGCCGCGCCGGGGTTCTAGCGTTTGGAGTCCGTGCCTGCACAATGTCGCATAGGGCGCCACATATGATGGCTGCCATGCCGGTCTTCCTGACTGTACGTGTTGATGGGCCCCCGGCAGGTGTTGTCTTACCTGGACTTCTTCCCCACTGGGGTGCAACGCACGGCCACGGCCACCGCGGCGAACATTTGCCGCTCCCTGGCGGTATCTCCCTCGGCGGCCTCCAGCGCGACCGCTCAATCGGCCGTTAAGGATGCCATTCCGATCCTCACGGGTCTCCTGCACTATTCGGTATGTTGTGTGATTTGCTGGGAGGATTGTGGTTCTGTTCCTCTGAACGCGAAGGACTGTAGCGTATTCT